AAGGCGCCGCGACGTTGGCACCGGTTATCGCGGCTCCCTACTCCTTGAAGAACGGTTCACCAAGCAGGAACCGCGGGGAACGCCTTTGGACGAAGTACACTCATGTTTCCAACGGTTCCGTACCAAAGCCTAGGTTCCTCGATATATTTCGGGACGTTGGTGTCAACGTTAAATCACAAATGATCGACGACGTTTCGCCATGCGGAAGGAATCTCGAATTATTCTTGCCAAATGCACGAGAGAAAATAACATACACGGCTACATAAAGTTTGTGAGAGAACTACGTAAGCCGTCATTTCTTCGAGTCGTTATCCGCAAAGATAAATATATGGTCGACGTAATAAAGACGTTCAAGGCCACTGACAAAAGCCACGTTGTTGTACGATGTTTTTCGCGTGCGATATAAGCGCATCGCAGAATGTAATGAGTTGTTTTGCACGCTAATCACTTTCCAGAGCAGGCCAATTATTCACGACGTCGACGGTATTATTTTCTACGCTCGTATCGCTTCTTGCGGAGAAGACGGACTATATAGATCCCATTCCACCTGGTATGATCGTCGACGAAACTGCACATGTCGAACACGGAAACACACACGCACGTTAATCATCGAGAGATTAGATAAGAAGGGACGATCGACAAGAGTCTCCACGTTTGTAGCAAATATTTGAAATAACGACTCGATACCGAGAATCGTTGCAGTGCCAAAGGCGTTCCAAACTGGTCACGCGAGCTCACGATTAGGTATGTTAATTGTGTTATGCAATGACGATGACAATCGTGCGCGATGGTCGAATTTACCGCGCAGTATTAACTAAAGTACAATGTTACATCTGTAGTGTCAAATTTAACCTAATATGAATCGCCACTGCTCCACTAAATATATCGTTATTTTTTACTAAAATGATAATTAAATTTGACACTATGTATAATGTTAAATTGATACTGTATAGTGTCAAATATAACCATTGTTTTAGTAAAAAATAACGATATTGAGTAGGAGCAGTGGCGACTCACATCAAGTTAACTTGATACTATAAGATTTAACAGTATATGTGGACATCGCGACGACCGCTTCGGCTTCGGCGCTGTGATCATCGCGTCGAAAATAATCGTGACCGCCACTTGTACCAATTTTAGCGGCACGTAATATCGCGTCTACGGTATGATCTAACGTTAAGCGATACGATCGACATCATTAGCATTAAATTTGTTGAGGCTTTGCGCCTTCCTGTCTTGAAGTTGCATGTCGTATTTCGTAACATTAATGACTTTTAAATATCTTCTCTGATCGGCGCAAGATTTCGAAACCAAACAGGTTTTTATTTAAAAGTATTTTTTACTCTGCTCAGAAAGAATGTCCAATAACGAAACGAAAACATATTTTTTACGTACTTAATCTTATTACAATCTTATAAAAGTATAAAAATAAAATAATATTTAGATTAGATTAAATTCTTATTGCCTCGAATTAAATAAGACTGACTTATATGATTTCTACCGATGTAGAATGATTTTGTAGATTAACTAATTTTGATTCAACTTACTCTTCATCTTTTTCTCATTGTTAGAACTAGAAAAAGATAAAGAGTAAGTTGAACCAAAATTGAAACTAATCTACATTGGTAGAAATGGGTATTATTGTTTTAAAACAAGAATAACACATATTCTTACGTTTAGAATAATTTTTATCCGACGTTATAACACACTATGCTGGCGCCACAGTATTTGATACGAAACCGATGTCCAAAATCATTTTATTCTAGACTTAAGAATTTTCCATTTAAAAGTAAAATATTTCTTTGTTAATAATAAATACACTGAGAAAAAATGTACTAAATTTCAATAAATAATTGTTTGAATAGTACTAATATAACATTTATTTACGGAAAATAAATATTTATAAAAAGTTAAATAAAATAGTAATAGGTATAATAATAGGGGTATAGTAATATAGAAGTAAATCAAATTAATGATTCTTGTATCAAATAAATATATGTTTACATTTAGTAAATATTCAACTGGCACTATTCGAATAAATTCTTACTAAAATTTAGTACAATTTTCTCTCATTGTTAGTGTAACAGTCCCTACATTCATCTTGTTTTGCGATAAATCGAAGAATAATTAATATTGGACCCGGAAATCTTTTATACAGGTGTATATAATATAATTAAATAGGTAGTGTGTTTTTCGTGTCGCTCACGTATTGTGCTCCTAGGTATTCACGTGTAAATTGAACGACAGCCAGTTCACTGTTACCTTCCCGTTAGACAATTAGTATGCGCGACCATGTTTAGCGGAGTCGCGAATGCCCTTGACATCGTAAAACTGATGAAGTGATTTAGGGACTCTTTGACATCATAATACGCGCAATTATTTCATCGTGACTGATTTCTAAGCGGGATTTTCCGGATTAGCGATAACACCCTGATTATATAGAGAATTGATGGGTAAACCGAACATAATCAATCGATCACATAACAGGCCACAAATGCAGTTTTCTCTTTGTCCACACCGAAACGTTGCCATCATTTTTTTCCGTCGTTTCCTGATTATTCGTTCCCTTTTTTATGCAATATAAAACGTAACATAATATTAAATATGTACATACTTCTGTTAAGTTGTTATGTTTTTAATACGCACGCAATTAATTCGTTTCACTTTTCAGCCGTAATAACTAATTGCTATCGTTACTAATATGTTACGTTCTGAATGTTTTATACATAAAAAAATTGCAAAAATATTTTAATTAAGCGGTCTAATCTCACGCTCAATCTTTTTGAAAAATGATAAAACATACAGGTATCCCTAATGTCATGCAGTGACGCATTCAACATTGACGTTTCATGTGCTGTTTCACGATCTCGCGCATCTACAGGAAAGCACAAGCGAGCACAAGGCGCATTTATATCAAATTTCTAATCGGGGCCGAGCGACTCGTCACGGTGAGATTTCTCCATATGCGAAAGTGCATATTATTTTCGGTACGTTTCGCGTCGGTGGCTCGCGGTTTATATAAAGATCCTCAAGTAAGAGACTGGACACCGTTTAGACAACTTCTGATTAGTCCGCCATAATTTTCCAGACCTGCTTAGAATAAGGTAGATGCATAAAGTAGAATGAGTGGCGTAGATATTTCATTTTACACTGTTAAATTTTGTAGGGTCAAATTAACTTAATATGTAAGTCGCCACTGCTCTTACTTAATAATATTATTTTTTACTAAAACACTTATATTTGACACTAGACAATATCAATTTAACAGTATATAATATCAAATTTAATTATTATTTTAGTAAAAAATAACGATATATTTAGTAGCAGTGGCGACTCACATTAGATTAAATTTGACACTATAGATTTAACAGTGAATCTTGTGCATAATTTATCTCATCCTACACTGCTAAAAATATCATGAAATTTAATGTACTTTTACACAAGTTGAATTTAATTTCATGATATTACGTTACATTTAATGTATTTGTAATTGAAAAGTATATTCGTGTACATGTACGTGGAATTTAATGTACTTTCCATAAAATTTTATGTGGATCTGTTTAAATTTAAAATGCACATGTTCATTACATTTAAAACTACCTCTACTGTAACTTTTTAATTAAATCATTCATTACTTTTCTATTATCTCACGACCACAAGATTCAGTTACACGTTATTTACATTTATTACGAAATTTAGCAGTGTATTTTAGCAGGTCCTGAAAAATATGGCGAGTCAATCAGAAATCTAAATGGTGTTCAATCTCTTACTTGAGGATTCTACACTGAAAGAAAAGATTGGCTGCTGCAGCAAATTAGATGATTAAATATGGCATAGCATTTTTAATTGGTTGCAACAGCCAATTGTTGGTTGTATTAGCTTATCCGCAATGTCGGTATAAGATTTCGATTGGCTAACGCAATCAAAAATTGGTCGCTACAGCCAATTAAAAATGCTATGCCATATTTAACCATCTAATTTGTTGCAGCAACCAATCTTTTCTTTCAGTGTAGATTTATGATTTTAGGCCAAACAAAGAAATGCAAATAAACGTGAATGAACAGCTTGCTTTAATGAGCGTGACGCCGTTTGTACTCATTGAGGCGAGCTGCTCAGTCGCGACTGTTCGCATTCATTTGTTGGAACTGGACCAAGCATTATGCGAACGTGCGGGTAACGAAACCGCGTGATGTACCAACCGGATGAGCACCGGAGTGCTCCCGATCGACCGCACGATTATTGCGCTCATGCTCGATCGCCCGTGCAAACGTTCGTTGCACGATCTCTTTCCCGAGCACGCGTCGTTCATGCATCCCGAGTCACATGCACCACGATGCATTATTACGACGCGCATTTAGCAAGCCCGTATCGACTACGTGCCCGAATTTTAATGGCTCTAAATCGATCAGTCTTAAACCCGATGACGTGTACACAAGATGTACGCATTTCGAAGAAATTTACATACTTCCTCTTTTATTTTCTATTTCTGCTAAATTTATGATTAAAAGTGTTTGAATACACTGAGAGAATATATACTAAATTTTAATAAATAACCGTTTGAATAGTATTAATGTAATATTTATTTACAGAAAATAAATATATTTGCTAAATAAAAAAAAAATATTATAGTTAAATCAAATTAATGATTCTTGTATCAAATATACGTTACATTTAGTAAATATTTAACTGTGGTATTATTCAAACAAATACTTATTAAAATTTAGTACATTTTTCTCTCAGTGTAGGATAGAATAAAAAGCATTTCATTATAATTATTTAGATGTTAGCAGTTAGTTTTCAAACAAAATTATTTCCAGGTAAAAAAACCGTCCGGTTGGTTAAATATGTTTAGTTTCCACGAAGGCCAGTATGCCAGATGTCATGATACACACGGTAGGGTGATTCAAACTGCTACACGCGCGTGAACGGACAGACGCACACAGAACACAGAAGAATAAAATGTACATAATAATAAAAATGAGCTTTGTAATCGGCATTACCTTGGCGATCGTCTCTGCAGTGCTGGGATTTTGGTGGCGGCGGGGGTGCATTCGAGTATTCTATGAATGAGCGGAAAAAAATTAAAATAATAACTAGCCGTTCTACCAGCTATGAAAATCAACTCGCGGGATTCAACGAGGAATCGCACACACGTTGCCGAGTGAACCTGTCGGTCAACTTGACGCACGTTCTTCTCTAATATCTAACGATATTGGTGCCACGAGAGGCGGTAATAATTTTTCGTAATTCAATCACACAATTTAACGAACTTAAACTCTACTTTTTTAATCAACCAAAAAAAAAACCTAGATTTATTTCTAAAGACACGGAGAAATTTCCTGGCTCCTTCTTCCCGCTTTTGAAATCTAGGAAGACTCAATCCAGCCTAGACGCTCCAAATGGCTGACGAGATTTCAGACCTTCGAAGGTGACGGTAGGTCGCGCCATGTAGACAGGCAGAGTCGGCCACCAGGTTCTATGCTTTCGCACGGCGGTGGGCGAAGGCGGCGGAGGCGGTGGTTGGTACCTGAACCTCGGTCTGTGCTTGTCGGGGTCGAAGGGTTGTCCGGCGAAGACAGTCTGCTGTGACGGTTTGAGGATCGACGCAGGGGTCGTTCGTGGTCGCGTCGGTGACGAGGAGGTGGCACGCGGACGTTCCGGTTTCTTCTTGTCAACCGAGGAAGAACGCGTCTTCGAGGTACCCCGGTGAATCCTGAGATCGGCCGGTGACGACAACGAGCGCATGTTGTCCCGACGACTGGGGTACCGGTGCGCCACCCACTTCCCGGCCAGGTAAGGCGCGATGTCACGAAGTTCACGCACATCCGGCGCCGACGTGAACATCTCGCCCATTATGGAAGTTCGGCCACCACCGGTGTCCAATGATTCGAATCTTTTCCGCATCCGGCAGACCGGTCTCTTCGCCTCGAGTTCTTTGGTCTCCGCTCGTCTGGTCACGTGGTTGGTGACAGTGCTGGTAGCTTGGGGCTCCTTCAATTCGACTGTTTTGCTGATGACATCGATGTGCGGCATCGAGAGATTTTCCCGGCGCAACGGTACCCGCGGGATCGGTGGTGACTCGCCCCTTCGTCCTATCCGCGGTCGTCCCTTCTTCGTCTCGAATTTCTTGCGCAACCATGCCACGTCGACGTGCTCGTGAGGCTTCAGAGCACTGCCACGCTCCTCTCCCTCGCTCGCCTTCTTCAAGAAGCTCCGTGCCAATTCCGGATCGCTGCGAAAGCGCTTCGGCGCGGCGGTGATCCTGACGCGTCGAGGCAGGTCCTCGGCGCTCTCGAATCTCGCGCGTAACCTACGCACCGTGCCGTTCCGCACCGGGTTGAGATAGGCTCGCCAGTACCTCTCGGGATCCGGCGACGAACTGCGCGGCCAACCGCTGCCGCTGTCCACGCTGCAGGACGAGTTCGATCGCGTGGTCGCGCGATACGGACTGACGCTGCGCGGCCTCGCGTCGTGTTCACGCTCCCGTGAACAGGAGCGGAACGACCGTCGTTGTTGTCGCGTACTCGTCACTTCCGGCAACGTCGGTGAACTGCCGTCGATCTTTCGTTCCCGCGGCGACGTCGATCGCGATCGATCGAGCCTACCGGCAGTACCGGCCAGCGAACTATACTTGGCTGATTCGGACTCGCCAAAAAGCTCTTTCAGATCAGCGAAGCTCTGCGACGACGGTAACTTCTTCTTGCCGCGAAACGTCCACGTCGTAGTGGTCGTCGTCGTCGCAGTCGCCATCGGTACGATCTCCTTCTGTTCTGTTCTTTTCTCCACATTCTCGAAGAACTCGATCTTCCGCGATACATCCTCCATCTCGGGTCCATTGCCCCGCTGGATCACCGTTCTCACTGAAGTCTCCGAACTCTCCGTCATGCTGTCTCCATCGCTGCCCGATGCAAACTTGCTGCTCGATCTTGCTTTCTCAGTTGGTACCGTCATGGCCAACAAGGGAGGTTTCTTCGACCATTCTTCGAGCACGGTCTCCACGCGTTGCTTGTCGCTGGGGCTCTCGTTATTGGGCGTCAACACCAGCAGAAAGTCGCTCTTGTCTTTCGATTTAGTCGTGTCTTCAACATATGGCGCTTCGAGGGAATAACAGGTCCTGGGGGAAGTGCTGGCCACGCTGGGCGTGTCGGGCGCATAAGGAGGTCTTGCGGTACTCTTTGTAGATGGTTTTGCCGGTATCTTCGTGGCCGCTAAGGCAGCGGCGATGCTACCACGAGTCTCGCGAGGCGCTAAAGGCGAGGATTGTCTTTTTCGCATCATTTTGTCCAGCACTTCTTTACCGAGAGTCAACGACAACCTCTTCTTCTCCAGCTCCGACATCGACGGCGAGATCGATCTCTCTGATTCTGATCTCTCAATGCTTTTCAAACGCCCAATGGAATCGCTCTTCTTCAAGGTTTTCTCGGCATCGCTCTGTTCTTTTAATATTGACTCGTTCGTCGCTATCATTGAATGGCATCGTACGTGGAGACTCTTTGAATCGTCTTGAGGATAATTCTGGGAATCGCCTTCAGGTGGTACAATAATTTCGTAGTTAGTCAAATTTTCGTCTTTAGCAATGGGATTTTCTTTAATAGGTTGCTGATACTCGCTAATTTCGCGAGGTGCATCGACAACGTCGTCGTTCGATCGTTTCTGAGGACCGTCGCTACCGTAAATTTCGTTTAGCTGCTTCTTTAGGTTGGTTACCTGCTCGATGGACAAACTGCTCCAGAACTTCTTGCTGCCGCCGAGACTCCTCTGTAACGATGGATGATAATCTGCAAATTTGTTAGTATCTCGAAAATTGACATTCGCCTTCTGCTGCATCGTAGTCGCCACGTTCACGACCGAATTTCCACGCCAGAGAGGTTTGTATGTATCCTTCTGCATGACAGCTTTTTTCTTGGAGAAGTCCAGTTCGCCTTCCTCGCTCTGAAGTCTTCGAAAATACTGCAAGATATCTTCCACGGAGCGTTCCTTGCAGCGCAGCCCACAATCGCCGTGCCACCTAAATTTATCAATGTCTTTCGCGCTGAAAAGAAAGTCCTTGTCACGTTGAACGCTCTTCAGCTTTCCATAAAGCGCCTTCAGTTCCTGTTCTGCCTTCTCCTTCGATCTAACCCGTTTCCAACGATCGTAATCGATGATTTCTTCGTTTTTCAGCCGCGGTCGTAGATCCCCGGAGGAAAACGTACGCTCCAACTGATCCATCCTGCTGAGATTCGCATAGAAGTCGCGCAGATCTTTGTACCGTGTCGATTTGCGTCTGTGGTGCAACAATTCGAGTATATACTGTTGATAATCCTCGCGATCCATGGACGATAATGAACAGGTGCTTTTCGTCAATGATAGATTCGAACCCTCCCTCTTGGCGTCTTCTGCCTCACCGGCGCTTCTGGCTCTTACTTTTTTCGTAATCGTCAGCGGGGCGTCTAAGTCTTCCTGCTTGGAGATGTGACTTCGTCGAGACGCCTGCGATCTCACCGGAGATGGCGAAGAGGATCTTGGCGAAGACTCTCTGGACTCGGGCAGAGTCTTCAATGGCGGCTCGCTTAGACTTCGCTCCTTCACGTGTTCCCGCGACATAGTTTCTGGACTACGAACGCGCAACATGGTGGACGATCCAAAATCATCAATATTCAACAAGCTGTCAAACTTGCCGATCTTTTGAAAAACCGACCGGCCGGGCCAGCAGACTCCATACGGACTTGAACTCCTGGACGAGACGCCGCTCTCGCGCTCCCAGTTTTTGAACTTTGAGTTCGAGACCGGCCGCTTGTGCGCCAAATACACGCTCAAAGACTTCAGAGACGGCTCCGACCTGAAGCTCTCCCTCACGCCGTCTTGGAATATTTTTGCACGCTCGCTGACGAGAGACTTCTTCATGTTCTCTTCGTGAGATTGTACGAGCGACGGATGATTCCGTAAGAAAAGGTTTTGGAAGAAAGTGTCTGTGCGCGTTGCTTCCTGATGTTTCTTGATCTCCTCCACGGTCAAGCAGGTGGTTCTGGAATCTTGCCCAACACTCGGCGCTATCTTCTCTATTCTCCTCAGAATCTTGATCTCGTCCTTCTCGGCCATCTCCCTCCACCCGTTCAAAGTCTTGCTCACGTCTGCTTCATCGACGCTCTTATCTCTCCGTGTTTTCCTCCTCGCATCCATCTTTTTCCTGTCACCGTTCACAGTTATGCGTATTGTCTCTGGCTTTCTTGTCGGAGTTTTAACGATCGTGTGCGGTTTCTCTCGAGGTCGCTTCCTCTTGTTCACTTCACTGATCGCTTCGGAACAGGACGAAGATATCGAACGCAAGGATTCTTTGCTAACAACCAGCTTTTCTGGCGGCTTCGAGACAGTCTTCGTCTTCTTTGGCTCCAGCTTAGTGATCTGTGATGACGTACTTTTCGCAGGAGACTTTAGCTGGGCGCTTGACGCCCTTTTCGTCGCCGTAAGCTGTTCAGAACGCTGTTCAGGACGCTGTTCAGATGTCTTTCGTAATATTTCCTGTCCCTTGAGCGAAACAGCTTTGAGAGATTTATCCACTGGACGCTTTTGTTTACTCGTCGACGAGATCGTCGAGCTCTTTACTACAGTGCCCGACGAAAGTATCTTAGTCTGCACGTCCCTCGTTTCTTTCTCTTTGTGCTTCTGCAAAGCTTTCTTAACCTCCACTGGTGAGGAGAGTTCCTGTGATCTGCTTAGCCTCCTACAAGATTGTTCTTGCTCTTTCTTTGTCAAACGAAGTTTCTCTCTCTTCGCAGTTGAGAGAGGCTCCGATTTTATTCTCTCTGGAGATTTCTGTCTTACTTTAGTGGCAACAGAAGTTGCGTGTCTGGATGGTACCTTTACTGCTGTGAGTTTATCAAGCTTCACTGAAGATTCGCGAATACTTCTCGATGCCGGCGACGTTGAAGAACAAACGTGATTTCTCGCACTACTTGACGGCAAGTTTAACTTCTTTGCTTCAAATTGAGTTTGTGACAAGCAGGGATCCGATTTTCTTTTACCGAAGGTGTTGGAGAACAAAGCAGACACCTTGGTGGTCTTTGAGGCAATCGGGCTGCTGGAGGACGTGCGTACGATTGTGCTATGAAACTGCTCGCGACTTTGTCGATGCCGCTCGAGATTACTGCAAAATCTCTCTCTTAGAGACCTGATGCTCGACACGCTGTCGGCATGCGCGAAGCACTGTTCGTGCCTAGGTTTCGAATATGCAGTGTACGAATTATCGATCAATCGCGTATTCTCCGAATATAATTTTCTCAAGGTTCTGTTATGGCGTGATGATTTTCTTCGGGGCGGCGAAGGAGGCCTCGGCGCCGACATAGTTTGCGGAAGAGCTCTACCGGATGATGAGAGGCTATGAGGAGGGGCTCTCATGACCTGCGGCGGGGATCTTGTATCGATCGAGGACAATATCGACCACTCGTGCCACGTTGAGAATGCCGTGGTGGACGAGGTGATTCTTGACGTGCACGAGGCGCTTCTTCGATGCACGCGGATCCTCGTCAGAGTTGGCGAGATCGGGAAATATTCGATCTCCGAGTCGTCTGTGGACAAAGTTTTGGAATTTGATCCAGATTCTCGATGTACCATCGAAGGCCCTTCGCTTTTACACCCTGCCACCAAAATATCAGTCGTCTAAAGGTTGTCCCGCTCAAGGTTAAGCTGGTGGACGCGCCGAGCTTCGCCGGTGCGACAGCGTGCCGATGCGAGGGTTCGCCACTCCTCATCGTGATGTTACTGCGGCTGGCGGTGTGCTTATACGTAAAAGAGAGGATTGCAAAAAGAGCTTTTCGAAAAGACTGGCTCGCGCACCAATATCGATAGAAGAGCTGTGCCATATTTAAACTAAAGTGAGAACGCCCGAGGTCAGGTTGCACCAATTCTACTGGTTGACTAATTCCAATTATCGATTATCTGTCCTTTCTAGATCGCAGCCTCGGCCACGACGCGATATCCACGAAGGAAAGTTTTAGGCTGATGGAGAGGTGTCGTGGATTGATTAATTAATCGATACCGACGATGCCACCGATGCGTCGTTGATTGATTAATTAATCGATACCGGAGAGTCGAGTCGGCCGGTAAGTTTATCAGCCAAGTACCACAATAGTCGCACAAACTTGGACAGATCCGTTGTTCCACGGCAGCTTCTCCTCCAGCCTAATTAATCGCGATTAGCGTTAACTGACGTTGATGCAACCACCTTCGAGAGATTACACATACAAAGAAAATTCATACGTATCAAAGCTATGTGCTTCAAACAGAGCACTACTCACACGTCATGCCACGCGCTTTTCAGCATAAATCAGCACTGTGAAATACTCTGAGAGAAAAAAAATCGTCTCGACTTTCGTCGACACATTTAATTTTGCGAAACATCGAGGATACTTTTTTAATCTCTCCCTCCCCTCCCCCCCTCCATCATAAATAATTTGAAATATTTATAAATCAATTATAACAATTTCGCTAACAAATAAAAATATAATACTAACATTTTATAATCTTTCAACAATGTAAAATTAATCTTTTTCTCATCACTCGAAGTTTCGGGACGCATGCGTAATTGACAAAACACAATGGTAATTAATAAAAATGCACACACATTGCAAGCAACCTTAAAACACACACCCGCATGCCAAAAATAAACTCGAGTTACACGGCCGATGTTGCTCAGCGTGCTGACTGTAGCAAATTAAGACGTATGAAAAAAGTAAGAAACAAAAGAAAGATTAAAACGCATACAGCACGAGGGTCGGCTGAGGGGCGACTCACCCTTTGGACGTTCTGGGGCTGGCTTGCGAAGCCCATGGAGGGGTACGTCACCACCGCTCTGCACCGTTTTGTATGCCAGTCTCTGCTCCAAAAGACTGAGCGGACTAATATCTTCTCGTCGGCGGAACACCAGCGTCGAGTCGCTCTCGTAGCCCGACTCTTTGAGGGCACTTCGCAAATGAGAAACGCCGATGAGAGACGCCATCGGATGACAGCTCGATTCATTACGCAGATAATTAAAGGGATCAGGAATTGACATTGTACTTACTGAGTTATATACGGCTTGGCCGCGGCACGTGCATTGCTGCGCTGATCGAAAGGCTGAAAAAGAGGGAAACGCCATTATTGTTACCGTCCGTTATGTCGACGGTCCTCGATCGCCATCTACGAAACATGCTACGTATACACTACTTGACGTCAAACGTCGCACGGCGCAAGAGATACGATTACTCGAGATTCGAGAACGAGTGGTTTTTAATCGACATGAGCGATCACATCGAGCAGAACATCGAGCAAATCATGCCGCAATCGTGTAATGCTAAGCCAGGATGAAGAGGAACGTGGCGGGATTAAGCTAATGAGACATAATCCGAAGAGGATGAAAGATACAAGAGGAGGAAACAAGTACGTAGGAGATCAAGATACGAGGAGATCGACAATAGCCACTTGTGATGCAAATATACTTGTGAGCGATTTTGTAAATCAGAAAACGAATTATGTCAACATATGAATTATTAATTCTCAAGAATTAAAAATAATTGATACCGCTCAATGATCATGTAATTCGCTTCTGTAATAAAATATTTCGTTCATGCCACATTGAGTGATGTGTTAAAAAAAAATATTTTCTAGTGTTTTCGGTGTTTCGCAATGTGTACAGAGAAAGCGGTAAAAACACGTCTTTAATTTCTTCTCAAGTAAATTATTGTGTAATAGATCAAAATGTGCGAAACAGGCGTGTAAGGAATAAAAAGAGAAATACAGAATCATGTTAAAAAATATTTTCCAGTGTCTTTGAAGTTTGTTTTTCGCGATGTGTACAGAGAAAGCGCTAAAATCGAAGACCATCAGTATTCATAGTCCGTTTTTCAATGTATTCAAAACCGTCTTAAGTAATATTTTAAAATGCTAATACAGCTTTGTGATGACATCTTAAGGCTATACTTAAGACGGTCTTAAATATATAAGAACGATTATAAATACCGACCTAATAACTTCTTCTCGGCAAGTAGAGTGTTGTATGATGATATAGATAAAAATGTGTGAAACAGGCTGTAAAGAGTGAAGAGAGAGATACAGAATCATGACAAAAATGCAGAGAAGAAAGTGAGAGAGATGACTCGATAGCCAGACAGAGAAAGAGAGACAGCAGAAAGATATATAGACAGATAGAGGACAACGTCATCGTGCACTCTACTTGTCGACGATGTGGCAGCCGTTCTAACCCGTGAAACGGCTTGCGTGGTGATAACGGAGGGTGTTGTCGGTGATGGTGGTAGCATGATATGATCGGTGCTGGAAAAAGAAGAAGAAGTAGAAGAAGAAGAGAGCGGCGGTCGCTGCTGTTCTTGGTTTTGATGGTGGGACTGTTGATGGTGGCGATGTTGATGATGATATTGATGCTCGGGATGATGATGATGATGACCATGATGATGACGATGCTGCTGCTGCTGCTGCTGCTGCTGCTGTTGCTGCTGCTGTTGCTGCTGGATGCTGTTATTGCCGATCGAGCACGGCACGATCGCGGCGACGGCCGGAAGCGGCGATACTGCTGATCGCTCGATCCCGACCGGATGCGATCGACGCGCCGGGCAACGATCTGGCAACACGAAGCTCTTGGATCTTCCATCCAGCATGCTGCCGGCGGCGTGCCAATAGCAGGGATCAGCGGCAGCGGGGGCGCGTTCCAGAGGTCGGATGATGCGACCGTCTTTGACAATGTCACCAGCGGCAATTGAACGATCGTTCGATCGATTAATAGACTCGACCGGTAGGATCAAGGACGACTTGGACCGATCTTGGATCGGAGTTCTGGACCGGTGCGTGCGCGACTTGCAGGATAGATCGATCGACCGATCGGTCGTACCTTCCGGTGCCACCGGACGCGCCCGCCTTATGCCGCCAACGAACTCGGAGCTTTTCGTGCTGCTGATTGCCGGTATCCTTACACTGTCCTCCGGCCGGTAGGAGAGGCTGAGGACGCGGGACTGCCGGACGCCACCGCCCAGAGACTCCATCCTAGCGTGCTGAGGATGTCCGTTTTCGTTCAGCCACTGTCACCCGTGGTCGTCATCGTCGTCGTCGTCGTCGTCGTCGTTGTCGTTAGAAGGAGGTGGATAGCGGTGTGGGATGGCATACGAGCGGGCACGACACGCAAAACATCGACGAGCACGCACACGCACACACACGATCATCGGGGACATCGGTTACGGTCATCTCGAGCGGACGATGATCGGGATCCGGGACGATTCGACGATTCACAGGACAGGAGTTCAAGACGGAAGATATTAGGTGCAATCGGTAAAACGACATACTGTGCATAAGTTAAGACATGGATCGCCGTATACGCGACGTTCGTATCGAACGCGATAAAAATTCTTTGCACCCGGTAATATTTCTCCGTATAAATCCTTCGATTTAATTATCATTATCGAAAGATCTATGGTACTTCAAGTAATATCGGGGAAACCCTCACGAGGCAGGAGAATTGCGTGCGCCCGGTCGGGTGCACGGACATCGATTATCGGAGCGCAATAAGCTGCCTTCAGTTATCGCGTTTGACGCTAACAATAAGTTGCACGAGAAAAATCGCTGATCGCTGTTTTTATTGACTAACTTTACAAACAGCGTATATCACGCAAAGATTGGATTCGAAATACACATCTTGAATTAAAGACGCGCGATTCGTTCACGAGAGAAATTGAAATTTATTTTAGAGATGGCAGCTTCTTATTCGTAATTCTGATTTTACGACAAAATTCTACGAGAGAAGGAAAAGAAGATTTATGTGGCAACATAGTAATTCTACAAGATCCCTCAAGGCGATGAGCTACCAGGTTAATTCCGAAGTAATGGAAAATGTTAATTTTAATTCAGTCTTACTATCTACGCGGAAAAAAAAGAGTACCAATAGATAGACCGAGGAAAGAGTAGAAGGAATAGAGAAACGGAGAGAATTCTTATTTAACTATGCATTAATATAAAAATGGCGTACCCCGTCAAATATGTCCATGACCTCGTCCCACCACTAGAATCACAGAATTAAACACAATGTTATACTAGGCGCTATCTAAAAGGGTTACTGAAACATTTAGATTCAAATAAAAGGGAATAAACGAATATCCGGATATTCTTGCCATTTTCCATCTAAAATAAGAGAAGACGTTGGATAATCTACCGCTAAATAAATACATCAAAGAGAAAAGCTAAATTACGAATTTTTCTAAAATAAATTAACAATATTATATAAATTACAACTAAAATATATAATAAAATTACACGTTAAATTGAAGGTAAAAATTACTAATTGAATAATTAAATAGAATTAAGCAGAAAAATTTAGTAGAGTTCGTTACATCTCAATTTTAGATGGAAGTCGACATAAAATTTAAACATAGGATCAACTACAAGCAGCGCTACAAAAGCTGTGTGAAAATCAATGGGGTTGTACTACGTGGAGCTGCAGAGCACCCTAAAGAATGCGATTCTCTTCACTCGAGGAATAACAAAAATTTATGTATGTAATCACCATTATTTTTAGTAATTGCTCTCTCGGGGGGACTCTGCGCGCTCTGAACATACGTGCGTGCTTAGTGTATACTGAGAACTGTGTCTGCGCTGTGTGTATGTGTGTATGTTAAAGAAACGCAATAACCACCACAAGGGCGGAGAGAGCAAGAGCTCGCAATCAATTAACTCATGATCGCCAAACAGAAAAGCTCTCAATAAACGGAGAAAACGTATAAGTTGGCCGGCAAAAGCAACTCGTTTTATTTAACACGTTCGATTGGCGTGATTACCTTCCTTCTTGTCCGCGCGTCGTAAGTTGGCTAGAAGCAAAGCCATTTCAAACGATCATGTTCCAGGTGTGTGTTCAGGCAATCTTGGGAATCTTTCAGAGAAATCGCGATCGTGCCGCGTCGCGTTCGTCGCGATAAGAAAATAACAAAAAGGAAGCGAGATGTCTACACGAATTTCTACTGCCACTCTCGCACGAAATATGGCTTGATGTCACAAAGTGATATACTGCACGTTCGATCAATTTCGCAATGTATAACGATATATGACACTCTGACGGAGAGATAGATGGCCAATCTTAAGCTCGCGTTCGTGCGCCCACCCGAACGTTAGTGTCAACCGTGGTCAGCTAAATTTTGCCTTCTTCATTATCTATCTCTTATATTTAACAAGGAGAGATTTCAGATATGTGTCACATGGATTTTGAAAAATTTGATATTAAGACACAGAGTCTGACGTCGTAAAAATAGTATGTAACATTCGGGTGCCAATGGGCCGAAAGATTGAACGTACAAAGTTTTAGAATAACCGCAAATATACACACACATACGTGACGGACATCTCATAAATCTCCGAAACGTGACTGAGTCGGTCTAGCTACAGTTTGTAACAAGCGGACCACCAGAGATTGTCCTTTCAGATTTGGCCCACTGACATCTAAATGTTACACATTATTTTTATGACGTCGAATTCTATACTTTAATATCGAATTTTCTAAAAATTTGCATGATACATACCCAGATCTTTCAAATGGAAATCCATACTGAGTATTATATTTATATACATATACATATTTCTTTTTCTACATTGTACTTAATTAAGATTACTTAACGGGAACTATCAATGCAAAATATTGCCGTCGTTAGAAGATTCGATTGTCCCATCAATCGTTACTCTTCGGACGAGCTAATAATTTCTACACGGTGTCGTATGACCGAATCTTTTCGATGTTATGGGAAAGTGCGCTTTAATTTATATTACAGGCAGGTCTGTCTACTTTCGAGTTACGGACGATAAAATGATACGCCGTACCTCTTTAGCTTCCTTCTCGGCGATCGACGAGTGCCCTGGTTCATAGTCCTCGATGCGGCCGGGCTGATTTTTATAAATCTCTGTCGAGTATTTCAGCGCCCCATTTCTAGAACAGAATGCGAAATGTGTCCCCGTTATCGATAAATCTCTTAAAGAGCTTTATATTTTACATGCCAGTTGTTTGAGAAACGATCTGTTCCATCTGTCAATAAAATTTGATCGAGAGATAAAAATCGTGGATGCATGAAGGAAATTTCAACGGTTCGACGCATCCTCGCAAACTGCTGGGAAAAACAAGCGAAAGTTTCCAAATTCTCGCTTACTTTCTGGGCATAGTCGCCGTGGTGAAGTCATTTTCTTTGTTGCGCAGCCGTCGACGGCTATCGAGAGTAACAGATCGATCCGAGTATGCACGCGGTTCCGGTTCACTCAAATATCCGCTGCCGCTTCCGTATCCATATCTCCCTCCTGAAACAAGAATGTTTCGTTTTTCGCATTTTGTTTGCAGCTGGGTTCCTATTCGCGGGTTCCCGTTTAGTTCCAGCAAAAAAAATCTACCGGTAACCAAATAACGTTCAATTAAGAGCGCAAACAATTCGGTGTTTACGTTTGGTTTAGTTCCTACGACGTTATAATAGAAATATCAAGTTACGAAAACACATATGCACACGCAATACACACATACCGTGTTACGTAACATTAGTATACACATTATTCGAAAATTAATCATCGAGAGATCTTCGGCATCGAAATAAAAACCTAATCTCAGTTCGATTTAAATTTTAATCGATTTTTCCTGTAAGCAGAGTTTTTTAAATTAAATTTGGGATTAAATTTTTTCCGCGAGAAGATCGAATTGGCGCGATGAAACAATCTAAAGACGAAAATCGCAAAAGATCAGACGTGAGAACTTCAAATCAACTCAAGAAGCTCTCCGGCGACAGCGAAGAACTTACGCCAACTCGAGAAGTTGTCCCGACTTGGTTTGATATATTCGATGGGAGATCCCGTACCGTCGGGATCTCCAAATTCTAAGACGTTCAATACGGTCTGTGATATAAACCAAGCAATCTCTCTTAAGTTAAAACACACATTAATAGTACACGATTAATCGAATTAACCACGATGTTAATCTAGAGAACGAGAGTCCCGTCGGGGAAAGGCAGGTGTTAATCAGCCGGATGTTAGATAAGGTAGGTGCAAGGTAGTCATTTATGTATCTGTCGCAAATTGTTTATTACTGTTTTTCACGCTCGACTAGCGTAGCTGTTAAACGGCGAGTATATGTACAGCGACAATTGTTATCTTGCGTTACGCAGAAGGCCATACATCAGTTGCCGATATACGGAAAATAGCACCCTGACGCGATACATTTTTGCTATACGAGAGATTATCTCTCCACCGCGCTTTATTTTACAGATATTAGTTACGCTGTTGTTACACAAATCACGGCTAGAGTGACTGCGTTACGCAGCGCACCCACGCACAGCGTAATATTAGTAGCAAATGTCGTAATTCGACCACCGCAGCAGTCATGCGCGGTAGTTGCATATTCACCTCTTCTTGATTTGTATTTTATGGTTACGTAGTCATCTGGAAACAAAATTATGGAATTATATGCGAATTGCCCGTTCACCGGCTAATGTTATTATTCCAAACGCGCGTATTTATCGGAACGATATTAAATTCCTTATTTATCCCGTAAATAATAATGATATTAATTTAGTATTGTACGTGCAACATAACAAAAATACGCGAATAATTATTTGTATCTCTCTCAAGTAAAATTTTATTCATTTAATAATCACATCGTAATTACAAAACTTACCGTTTCTATCAGCACGGTGCAACGAGTCATACATTTTCTTGTACCATTTCGCTTGATTGCTTTCCTTGATTTCCTAGAAATAATTTATCGAGAGAGTACTAAGAAAGTGCATCGCACGACGTAAAATAATTACTCGTTTATACCGTGATTAAAAATGGCGATATAAATCATTTCTATCTTACATAATTGCTTGCTAAGCGTTCATCGCACCGATTGGAAAATTTATACTTTTAGTTTACTTAATAATTAGCGACCTACCGATCTTAGCACGAGAGGGATACCTTCCCTAGTCACCGGTCCGATTCCCTCGAATTTTCGAGGGCCCAGATCGGCCATCTTCTTCGGCAGTTCATTCTCCGTTTCCGGCTCGCTCTCGTATTCTTTCTTCAACGTGTAGACTGAACGATTCAATTTCACAATAAATCATTAGCACTCGCGTACGCAATCGGAAAATAGGTCGACACATATAGTAATTAGACACAGCTAGTTAGCGACGAACGTTAGCGACAATAAGAAACATAAACGGATTTTCGAAAATCGTTTATATTGGGCGGCTTTCATATAAAAATGAACCAACCGTAATATAATAATCATAATGCTATAACGTTCGACTAGTTGGCTTATAACTGATCGATACTTACTTATCTCTCCCGGAGAGATTAGCGGCCTTTCGTCGCTCACTGGCCGATTATCGCTTTCCTCCAAGTAAGCTGCGCCTTTCGGCAATTGTCCCTCTACAATAAAATCGCAATGATAGTTTAGTGTAACGAAGAAGAAAAAATGTAATTCCGCAAATCTTTAATGTCCTCATTCATTCTGCCTCCGATAAGTAGAGGGATTCTTTTAATGGGTGCTGACCTCGCGCTTTCTGCAGCAATGTGATGGTCGGATTCTGGGCACGTGGCAATCGCGGCGTAGACGCGAGGGTGTTCAACCCCTGGGAGGGTGCCGAATGCGAATTCACGATTCGCGAGATGCCGCTCTCCTTCTCCTCGCCTTGCCAGGGCGGAGGCGCCTCCTTGAACAGAATCTCGTGTGAGAGTGCGCATCCTTGAACTTTTTACCATCGATGCGAGAAGATGGTTCGAATAAAGCGATCATACATATTACAGCTTTCCGTTCTTTCCTTTGTCAAGGGAATTTTTATTACTGTATTTACTAAAGAGAGTTGTCCGAATTGAATTTTATTCCAAGTTTGTTCGTCAAACTTAACCCTTTGAAGATGCAAAGAAACTTACAAGGAACCTTGTTTTCTAAGGAAAGACGCTGAATTCGATTCTGGCCTCAGAATTCTAAAATTCAAGACTATTACGAAACTCGATTTTAGGAGATTCTTGGTATCGCTGAGTTTAAATGTAGCCTGAAAATCTCGAATTTCAAAAGAGTAACTTCCAATAAAAGAGGATCTGGTATATCATAGGACTCATAATTAGAGTTTGAAAGTTAGTTTGAAAATCAGCACTAACTGTTTGCATAGCACTGATGAGCTTCAAATAAAGCGTAACTCAAAACTTGATGTTACTTCGTAATTAAAAACTCTCTAAAACCATGTTTTATATGATAATCGGATCATTTTGTGTATTCATCATATTGAATCTATCATTTTTAATGTGTTTTACTTAAAAATCAAATAAAGCGTTATAAAATTATTATTATTACAAGGATATTTATAATAATCAGATTATTTTTACTATCCACTATATTGAAGCTACCATTTTAAATTTATTTTTGATCGCAAAATCGAATAAAGCATTATCAAATTATCCTGTATAGATCGAGTTTCATAACACTCGAATGAGCAGTTTACAAAATGAAAGGTGTGTTCGAACGGGCACGCCCACGAAGGGTTAATGATTTAATCAATCACGAATTTAATTTTTATGCCAGATAAATAGCTTAATATCTCGATATAATTGACTGACATACTTCTTCCTTCGGCTGCCTCTTCCGGCTTAGTACAGGACTCTCGAATGCCACAGGACGAAATTCCTTTCTCTCAGCGACAGGGCTCGCGCCGGCGCTGGCGGGGGTCCAAACCGACGGGATCGGCTCGTTCTTCTTCTGTGGTTCTTTCCTTCGTTCGGGACTCGGTGCCTTCTCAGATGGCGTTTGTCCTGGCGACCAAACGCCTGGCAACGAAAATTCACTTTTAAGAATGTAATTGATACGGCATGTCCACGAGACCTTTGTTAATCAACACTCATTGTCAGGCAAATTTGGTTATCGTCAGACGGACTAACAACAGTCTTATTAAAAAAGAAGGTTAAACCGATCGATTACTTCCTATAAATGAATCCAGCTTTTATACAATTTTAGATTTATGTGTTATAATTCAATACATTAGTTCCTGATATAGAAGCTAATTAAAGAAAGACTGCCACAGTGAAAGAAAAGATTAGCTGAATATGACATAGCATTTTTAATTGGTTGCAGCATTTTATTTGATTGCGTTAGCTTATCGAAATCTTATACTAACATTGCAGATAGGCTAAAGCAACCAAAAATTTGCTGCTGTAACAAAAAATTGGCTGTTGCAGACAATTAAAAATGCTAGGCCATATTTTACCATCTAATTTGTTGCAGCAGCTAATCTTTTTTTTTTCAGTGCAGTAAAAGAACAAACTCGCCAAAAGGTCTTTGCTCCTGCAACAGCTACGCTGTATGGATTTGGTGGATTGGCGCTAAAGCTAACATATGAAATGTATACGGGCGCGATGCTAATCTTGGCTCACAGGGGAGCATTACATAAGGGATCATCTTTTTCCCTACTACTTCCTCATTTTGCCACGTCACTGCCTATTACTAATTTGATCCGTTTAAAAACGGTTCTTTGACGTAAACGATCCGATAATCCTATCGTTTATATTAATCGCGTAAACAATCTGGAAAGAAATAAAGCTGCAGGAAGGGTATTTTTACAGACTCGCACGCCGTTTCTAACCTCGGAGCAATATTTTTTAACGGCCGATAAACAAAGGTTTTATTAACTCGTTACCGCGGTCCAAATAAGAACAAATGCCATGTCGCAACATCGCGTCGGTGACATAAACGAAGTTATTGACGGGTGACGACGCTTGAATGTCAGATGGGGAAGACAACGTTACGAGCACGATAAAGATACATCGTCGCTACGGTGAGTCAGGCACATGTGCCAGTCGGAATTGAACCTCTCGGCCAATTTGCAGAGTCATATCTCTCGCGGTCGCGCGGCAACAGGAAATCAGGGGTAGTTCATTTGGGACGCTGGTAAAATTAGAAGCTTGCGTAGGCGGCGTTAGGTATTATGAGGTACGCATAATTGCAATTGGCCGAGGACAACCCGAACACAATGCCGCGGCGACGCGTTTTCTGGAGCGACACGTTTTCTGCGCACGACACGTTAGCGAAACGTTATGTATTCGATGTGTATGTGAATTCGGGTTGACCAAAAGTCCGGAATCGGATACAGAGGTAAGGAAATTGGGAGAAACATAAATATCTGGGCTTTCTGGTCGAGTTGTTACAAATTTTGTCTCAAACAACCTTCGACATGCACGACTACCGAGGTAACTGCAGTGATCATATACGTTCTTTATTGCAAAGGACAGTCCTTTAGTTCAGGTTCTTTATATTTATTTATTTTTTTCATAACTCAATTTTGTCTAATATTACGGAAAATTCCTTTCTAATTAACATTCCAAATATAATATACTTGGAATGAGCGAATTTTTATGGAAATTACCGACAATTTTAATTTTGCGCAAGAGCAATATTAGCCCAAACAGAACAACAAAGTCACAGTAACATCAAAATAAATCTTGATTAACTGAAAAGTGACTTTTAACAATAAAATTTGCAGCTATTTTGACATCATTTTGATATTAACTTGTGCTTAACTTGTGAGTTATCTCAGATATACTGCGCGAAAATTTCAGAAATTCAAACAGACTTCTGACAGTCACAAACCACCTTGGAAATATTTAGGAATAAAATCCTTAAATATTCAGTTTTGTCCTTTATTTTCTCTGAAACGATATGGTCACTGAGAGATAACATGTGTTCCTCTATCCGAAGATGTGATAATTAAAAACTGGAAACTAAGATTTACATATAAAAATATTATTACGCACCAAGATTCGTTTTAAACGAATATGGTCTTTTTCGCTTATTTATGTGAACATTTCTCTGCTGATTTTCACTTACTATACAATAATTGATGTTACACACGTTACAATCTATGTACGACAATAACGGCTATACATTTTCACTAATTGCAACGTACGTGCGATTAATCAACGCTGTCGCGACGCCAGCTGCATCCAGCGTTCGAAACGTCAAAAACATAGAATTGCCATCGTTTTTGGATCGTGTACCGACATGTACACGCTATTCGCAACTAACAACCGTGGCAATGGTGATTAGTCGAAACACCGATACTTGTAAGGACGACGTTCTCAGGTAACCGAAATTAATGCCCCTTCCTTCCTGGATAAATTACTAAACGAGATTACGCGTATTGCTCGGGGAAATACATGTACGGAGATACGCACACGCGTATGTGTGTAGCAGGTACTTAATTACAATCTCGTTGCTAAGAACACACGTGGCCCCGTACAATACGATCTACACCCTATACGTAATTAATTTTATTACGTCTTCGAAACGAACGTTGGTTAACGTAACAGAAGCACACTCTCCCGATGGCAATTCCATTTCTCTTATCGCGTCGTTCATCATCCAATTACACTGGCTCCAGTATATTTGAAAAGTTAATTAATTAATTACCGAAAGTTCCATTAAAAATGTTAATAGACAAATATATTCTTGTAGTTACTCGAGAAGAGGCAACGTTGGATATTAATATTTCGGATTGCATCTTCAGTCATTATGCAAGATGCACGACGAAATTATTCTGTTAGTTTTCTTCACACATTCCTCGCGCAGGTTTACCTGGTTTCGCCGACGAGGCTTTAAACGTGGGGGCGAACATAACGTTTTCTGAAAGCATTAAACAACATTTTGTCAAACAAAATGTCTCGGGTTCTCGTCATTTCGTAAATCGCATTATTTTTAACGATGAATTTTTGAACGAATTTCTTTTCATGTATATCTCACGATTTCTCATCGTAATTAATCCGTGACAATTTTTCTAATCTAAATCATTAACTATCAACGCAGAATATCTTGCTTATAGCAAGTCAACACTATGCAACGTAAGGCTTATATTACACTCCGCGTTCAATATCGTCTGGAGGGCTCTTCAAAGTTACTTTCACGATGAAACCGCCACGATTCATTAATATAAAAGCGATCTTGATGGAATGCCGCGAAACGAGCGTAAAGAGAAGAATAAAACCAAGTAGACTGCTTTATTTCACGACAGACTAAGAGTATACCAACGCCATAATGCATTTCGAAAACTGATCGTATAACTTACGAATATTAAAATCAGAATTCGTCGAATTGTTCTACTTGTTTATAAAGTTCCTTCAATATATCATAACATAAGATTAATTCCTGTCGCGTCAATTATCTTATTTATTTTTGCCAATTTAACAACTGTATATTTTCTCACGAATTTTCTCGCTGATTTGAAAGGCAATAATTTGAAAAACACTCGTAATCCTTTTCTGAGGATTTCCTTCGGAAAGATGCGAGTTCCGAGCTTCCTCACGACCGCGGAACTACCTGTTGAAGAAATTTACGAACACCTATCATGCCTTTATCCCTCGCTATCCTTCGATAATGCGTCAACTTTTCCGAAATGATCACTCACTTTTCTCCAACATCGTCACTTTACGATTTCAACGACCTCTTTTTTTATTCGACGCGGCACCGCGTATCTCAATGGGACACTCTTCTCGGCGAGACACGGGAAAGTAGCACGGTAGGTGCCAGCCGACTGAAGCGTCGCGACGCCGCGCCGACGAGGCTCGACGCCACGCCGCGCGACGCTCACTACGCCGACGTCGATGACGACGTCGTTCGAGGCTACTCTGTACGAAATCTCGAATCCACTGCCAACAAGCCGAGCTATATACGTGTGTATACGTTTGCTTGGAAGATGGATCTGAATTCTCTCAATCTTCAATCCGACGTTAAAACAAAGTAACATTAAAGTAAAATAAATAACGTTCAAAATTTCATATGATAAATTTGCTTTTTATTCCTGCATTAGACTGCACTAGAACTCTCTTTTTTACTTTGACCAAATATAATACCTGTCTCACTTTAAGTCTCAAAAGTGTATACTAGTTCAGCCACAGAAAAGACTTAATTTTATAATTCATCCGAGACTTTTCAGTTTTTCAGTATTAATATTTTTTGCAAATGATGTCACAAAGCATTCAATAACGATATTTTTTAATTGTGTAATGCATGCAGGGATTAAGCAAAATTGCAAACGCACCTTGCCCAAGTAGAAATCCCCTGCCGACTTTTAAAGCTTTGTCGATCTCGTGCAGCAGATCACTTTCATTCCTGACTCTTCTCTTCGCAATGGCATCGCAGCCGCTCCCTTTGATTAACAAAGCATATGCCCACATCCACCAAAAAAGAAAAAAAAATAAAAAGATGCAATGAAATTAATTTCGAGCAGCGCGCCGTGAATTTGTTAGCAAGTTGCAAGCCAGAACTGAACGACAAAGAAATTCTTCATTGCAAGATTTTTAAATATACGTCACTCGTTTATTAAAAAAAAAAAAAAAAAAAAAAAAAGAATTGATGTATCAATCGAAACGATGAATACAAATAACTTGTATCCACAGACGGATGCCTAAATTCGCACATTTAGTCCCGACGGAACGCACGCTGTGGCTAAACTTTCGTGCTAAAGTTAGAATAGAAAATAAACAGGCGCTTCGGTAACCGCGCCGAAAGGTTCACGAGACTTACGAAATACAAATAACCGCGGTGAGTTAATAGTAATAGACGAGTGATGTCCGCACGCTTTGGCATTGTGTCAATAAAAATTAACATTGTTGCACGGATGAACGACTTTTGTCAAATATCAACTAATATGTCTAACATCGCCGTTTTCTATATATTTTTGTTTTCTCTGCAAGAGAATTGATTGGCGTAAAAATGTTTGAACAAAACGTGCACTCGTGCCGTGCTTATTGTAATATATTCATAACATGTACATGTACTGTCAGCAAACAAGTGAGCTGAAAGATTAAAAAAGCGAGCATGCAACAATACATGGTGAAAAAAGCGATTTTAGATGAGATGCGAAAATGACTGATTTATCAAAACAAATGAAAGAATCTTTATTTACGTTAATTATACCATCACGACTGAAACTTTTAACAAAATAAAAAATTTTACAGCTCTAACAAAAAAGGATACTAAAAATATTCGCTTAAATGTTGAGAGAGAAGTTCTGTGGATTATATTCGATTATTATGACGAGCTCGAAAATATCATCGTCGAGTACGTTTTAATTATAGGTAGAGTAAAATATGTATGTAAACAATTTAATAGAGAAAAATTCTCAGTCTCCACGAAAGGATGTGCGGACCAGCGGGCCAGTAGGCCACGTCGCGTGATTGAAAATAGCTGAAAACAAGACGGTGGTTCCGGCGCGCTGGCCGAAATGGCGAACGCGTCCTATGAGCGACTGGCCTATTTCTCGCCGCGATGTTTTATATTTAGATTCCCATCCTCCAATGAATCACACACGAACGCCGCGGCTCGACGATCGCGGAATGAAGAAAAGAGTAAATCGCAGGCAGACTGCACCATCATCAGACGTGGCACCCATCTAAATGACAACGTCGTAGCGATAGAAAACGCATCGTGTCGAATAGAATTTTGTGGGAGCTTTCCTATAAATTCTTCACAGTAGAATCTCATTCTTAAAGACTAAAATCTCACTCTTACAGATTAAAAATTTATTCTCGAAAAAGAATGACAGAATTTCCACTTTTTAGAGTGAGATTCCACTCCGAAGAATTTAGAGAGTTTAAAGACAGTCACTTGCATTGTCATCTTATTATCTCGAGGAAAGAGAGATCTCTTCGAATTACCCGGTATAACGATGACGAGATTAAAGGTTCTGCGACTATAATCGGCTCCAGGGAATCGACGCGTGAACGACATGACGCAATTTGATAGCCTCTGTACCTCCACGTTGATATCCGTTATCGCAAACTGTCGTGGTTCATTATCCGCGACGCTGTCGCAACGCCGCGAACACGAATGTTAACGCAATAATTTTCCATAACGTCGCTTTGATGAATCGATCACCGTCTCAAAATAAATGTCAAAATATACGAGCAGCGCGCGTGTCGATTGCACGCCGGATTTATGTCGCGGAATATTAAATCCCGCTGCAGGCGCACCCGATACCACGGCAGGTTAGGCAGAGAGCTGGCAATGAGAGGAAGGCGCGTAAACACGCATATTCGTTACAATATCGCGAGAAATTAATAATAACTCGCGCGTTTCACAATACAATGAGATTTATTATTTGTACAAGACTGATCGTATCGTTGCGAGACGAGTTATTAATCGGATTACGGAATTGTAGCAATCTGGACTGTGTGATTATGATGCTGCACGACCTGCACCAACGTAAATAGATCGACGCGCTTCCGCTTTGCCGGGAGAACTAATCTTGCCTCCGGAGCTGTGCAGGAAAACAGTACTCAAGACAGTAATGAGATTTCCGTTTCGACGTTACCGCTTGTCTCCCATATTAAGAAAGTTCGCCTACGATGTGATAGCTGAGGCGATCCGACGAGAACAATGACATTTATTGAAGAGATCCCCAATTTTTCGCTTTTCAATGATTTTAATCGAGAGTAGCGATGTTTCGAATTTTACAGCTCGTTTTTATTTGTACGAGGGATTGAAGGTGAGAAATTCGTAATATTCCAAAAAAATATTTCAATTATTTCAATCAATTGCAACATGAATATTACTTTATTGCGCTTTACCACGCGAAATTCTATACCGTTGCTTTCCGTCTCTTTAAATCACATTTAAAAAAAACGAGTTTGTAAAAGGAACATTGCGCCGGATAAATATTTTTTAATAAAAGATTAATTATTTATCTTTCCTGCATTTTTTGTCCAACAGTCCTTTCACGTATTGTTGGCACCAGGCGGACAGATAAAAAGAATTAGCATAGTACCAAGAACGTTAGTGACGACAAACACTAAGGCATCTACGGACGTCGGACAAGATGCGCACGTTACGTTAGTGGTTGTTAAAAGGCGTCCCTTGGCGAGACATTCGAGAGTTCAGGACGGATTCGTTTGACTTCCGGGCGGGACACTCTTTCTCAGCAGCCACCAATCGTCATCGCAACACGACGAGCAACACAGCAAACTCCATCGTCCATTCCAATCGCCGTAACTCACCGCCCTCGTCGCTCATCGTGGAGATCTTCAGGAACTCCCGCAGATGTTTCGGCAGCCTCCGAACGTCCTGCAGCTCCTTGCCGTCTATTAGGAATTTCGCGTTGATCAGAGCATCACCATCTTCGTCCTCGTGCTCCGTCCCGCTCTCGTCGAGATTGATCCCGAACTTGTTCAGCCGGCTGCGTGCCTTCTCGATGAATTCCTTCGCCATCGCGCTCATGTTACCATCCGCTTTGCGTTTGATGTCTTCGTGCGAGCTGATCTTCACGACTTTGTGGCTCTTCCGCTCCTGCCGCTCTAACACCTTGTGCACGTACTCGTCGTACATTTGCTGGCGAAATGCCTCCCCGTTCGTTGGTAACGTTGTCGGTCTCCTCACTTCAACGTTCTTACGCTGAGTCATCCTTTCAGCGGACATCTCAGAGTCGTTTCTCGGTGTCCCTGTCGACCGTGTTTTCGTGCAACGATCGTTAACTTCGTCCTCGCGAGGCTTAAACGTTTCATTTTCCTCCGTTCTCGCCAAGTTTTCCTTCTGCGTGATCACGTGACGTTCCTCATGTTTAATACTTTCTGAGGATTTCTCCTCGTGATGCCCATTCTCATGACATACCTTCTTCAGAAACTGCCGATTGTCTACTTTATCGATCGTCTCTGTACGATTCTTTTCTATATTCCGTGACTTCTCTTGCCAAGATTCTTTTTGAATTCTCGGCTCGCTTCGATAGATCTCTTTGAAGCATTTCTCCTCGAGACCTCGAGGTTCCGCTCGCTTATTTTCCCCACATTTTCCGTCTGTCATCCCATGGACATCGATCGGAATTTTACGTTCGCGTTCGAGACTCATGCTAATTTTTTTCAAGGTTTCTTCGGGGATATCAGCGAGAGGCGACCTCCTCGTGTCGTCACATTGTTTCGTTTGATGAAAATGCGTTTGAAATTCCTCGAAAGCCTTTCTTTCCTCCTCTTCCGCTAGTATCACATTTTTTAGTTGATCTTCCAACAGCTCGATGTACCTCAGCTGCTGAGCGAAGTATTCTTGAGGTAAGGAGCCCTTCTTATCGTCGTCGAGCCGCCGTGATGTTTCCGTCTGCAGCTCTTTCAGTTTATCCATGATCTCCACAGCGGCCACGTGTTTCAGTTTCTCCGCTTCATGGTGTCCTTTTCGTGGTTCCAGACGACTTCTCGGCGGACTCTGATCGAAAATACTCGTCGTATCGATGCACGATCTGTCGACCGTGACCGCGCGCTTCGGCAACGGTGGTACCTCGAGTTTGTTGTCGATCAACGCCGGATTCACGTGCTTGCCAAGATCGGTCGCTCTCCTGAGAGGCGGCGTCCTCTTGCCAGTGGCATCCATCGATCGATCGGTAACGGTACCGTTCAGCATGATCGGACACTTAATGTTATTCGCTAACAATCTCTCTGAATCGCGAGTTATCGCGTTGTTGTTCGCCGACGGTCGATGTCCAGCCTGGGCGGCGGAACGTGTCGCAATCTTAAGCCGATCAGACCGGGCCACGTGACCGTTCGGCTTATCGTCGCTCGATTCGCCATCCTCGCCCCTCGTCGCCGCCAAGAATAGCTCGTTCGTGGTGGCGCTTCGGCGATCGTGTCTGGCTGGATTCAACCAGTCGCTCGGCCGAGGCTCGGCCTTGAAACATTCTTGACCCCGGCGCCCAAAAGAGTCGCCAGTGGCGTCATCGGTTATCGTCTTCGTCTGCTGATCCGCGAATATATCGTTTCGAGGACCGTTTCGTTCTTCCTTGATGATTTCCAGCAGCCTGCTGCTAGAACTCTCGATCGTGCTGTCTCGATGACTCGCTCGAGTAGTCGGCTTAGGTGTTTTCGAAATCGCGTTGCTGCCCTCTTTGATCGGACGGATCTCAACTCGGTACTGCGGCAGAGGAACGTAATGTGGCTGTTCCTCGCGGTAACTGTACCGGTTTAGGAACTTTCGGTGAAGGTCCAGCAGGGTGTCGGCACTCGTGCGCACCTGCATGGCCTGTTGCGACGGCGACAGGCATACCAGAAGCCTGGGGTCCGTTGTAGTGAGCGCACGCCACCGTGGTTCCCGGTTCTCCATCTCGTTCTCCGACTCTGACAACTCAATATTAATGCTTTTCGACAACTTGGCCTGGTCTGAAACAGCGTTCGTAATGTCGTTAGGACGATGCCGCTCGCTCTCGTCCGACGTTTTCGTTAGTCCGTGCCGTCGATCACTCACTCCATGCATTGAGTTTAGTCGAGCGTTATCGTGTGGATGCGCCGGCGCGTCACTCACAAACCTCTGTAGAGTCCGCAAACTCTCGAAGATGTTGAACTTTGGCGTAGTGATCTCGCCTATCACTTGCGGTCCATACGGCATCGACAGAATTCTCTCGACGCAGAGCTTCCTGAGAGAAGATGGTTGTCCCGACACGTCTTTCGTGGCTATCTCTGAGACCGCTTTCTTCAATGGCACATGATAAAGATCCTCCACAGGCGAGTAAGGGAGGACCGGCTGAGGCGATTTCGAATTCTCTCTCGGCGTCGTCTCATTTGCGGATCTTTCCGTGTTTTTCAGCAAGGTGAGCTTCCGCTTCAGAGATTCTCCCGCTTCGTCTTTCAAGTTCTCCTCCCTCGTCTCGCGGACAATCGCGATGATATCGGTCAACGACGCTTCCAATGGACGATGCTTTACGGTGTTCAAGGACGTCGTGCTGCTGGACGAGTCATGTCCTTGAACATCGATTAACTCATCCTCGAGCGAGGGACTCTCGCTCACTGGGACGTCCGTTCTTTGAAAGCTCACCTCGTCGTCGGACGAATTCCTCGTGTCGCTCTCTCGGGACGAGCTGCGCGTTTTTTCCTCGTGCTTTTCCTCGCGCCTCTCTTCGCGCTTCGACTCCCACGTCGAATACTTCGAATTGCGAAGGCCATCGCGCTGGTTAGCGCTCGTACTCTCCTCGTGTCGTTCGATTATTCTCGTCTCCGACGTCTCACTCTTCACTATTCGTTCGCGATGAAAGCCAGACGTCGATTTCTCGTTCTTCTCGTTTTTTCCCTCGGGTTTCTTCTTGCTCTTTGAACTCGACGTACCCATCGCCGCCGATTTGTCTCTCACCGAAAAATTCGAACGAGTATCTGATTTATTGCACCTCGGTGATTCGTGATTCGCCGTAGAATCCTTCCTTTCCGTGGAATTCGTGTGTTTCTCCTGACCCGAGGGATACCGGCACACATCGGCCTCACCCTCCTGCCGGCAGCACGACGACGCGTTTTGATCATATGCCACCGATGCAGCGGGCGTCGCGAGTTTCCCTTCCTCGCGACGCGTTATTTCCGTGCTAGTCGTGCTTGCCAACTTGACGACGTGCGTACCGGTGCCGCGCGAGCGTGACAGATCATCGTCGCGAATACCCGATGACGCGATCGATCGACCGTCCTCGGTCGAAGCTTCAGCGTACCCGGTTGTCGGAGCGGTGTCGGCGGGTCTGACCTGATTTATACGGCCACGAATCTCATTAGCGCGAACGATTGTCGAGATGAGGTCACGCGAGCTCGAAAGATCTTCGCCATAAATTGCCCGACCGGTCCTCGACGTGCAAGAACTCTTGCAAGCTCCGGGAAGCTCCGACCGTCGTGGCAGCCCGTCGTCTGCCGCTTCACGACTCGCACACTTCCGCGCGGATAAATTCGTCGACTCGTCGTGTTCGCGTCCGTCGCCGTTCGCCGCAACAGACGTCTGATGAATCTTCGCGCCGCTCGAGATATAGTCTATTTCAGGTGGCGTCGGCGGTCTCTGAGGCTCGCGGCCGAAACTGGATGACCTCTTCGGTAGAGGCGGCGGTCGCTTCGTTTCCGACAGGGTTACTTCGCTCGATGACGAATTCGAGGCTGAATCAACTCTGTCGTCCACCCGTGATACGCTGTGATTAACGATCCTGCGAGTCTCGATGGAATCTTTTCGTAGAACATCGCGGTTGTCTGATTTTGCAGGTGCCTCGACTACGGACGAAAATTTATTACCTTCCGCTTTACTTACATCTGCGTCACTGATATCACTTACAGTCACAATACTTGTCACGGTTTTTTCTAGTTTCTCCGCTTCATTATTTTCCTCACCGTCTTTCGTAGTATCATTTTTCACAATCTCAATTTCCTCAATAATACAACGGTCCTCGAGGTTTAAATTAGCTTGCGTCGTGTCTGCTAAGATTTCCAAAGATTCATTATTTAGGATGTCGTCCTTTGCATTCATTTTTTCGCTCATCGTTTCAGTTACAGGATCAGCGTCTTTCACTTCAGTTTCAGGACTCGCGACATTTTCAACAACGGAATTAAGCTCAACGTTTTCATTCTCGTCGCAATTGTTTGCGTTCATTTTTTCGCTTATTGTTTCAGTCACGGGATTAATGTCTTTTACTACTTTAGTTTCAGGACTCGCGATGCTTTCAACGGAATTAAGCTCGACGTTTTCAATCTCGTCGCAAGTGTTTGCTTTATCGCGTGAACATAATTCCGAAATGTCATTCTTCAGCGTATCAATCTTAACCTTAATATCGCATTCTGACTTCTCATCGGCCGATTTAATCTTGTCAGTATCAACCCTTCTCGCTTCGATGTCATCCGCCGATGTCATCCTCTCGACAGAATGCCTGTCCTCGCGCCGATACTTGCTGATTTCCTCGTTTATGAAATCTCTGATATGCTGTGCCTCGTCCTCCGATAGTCTTTCACCTTCTTCCTGTATAATGTCCAGAAAGCTGCTGGCGTAATGCGACACCGACATCGCGCGCTTCCTCGTTTTCCGACGTGGCGAGATAGCTGCTTTCTCGAAGGATCTGCTCTCTTCCGCCGCGAAGTCGCACGCAACGAGAGATCTCCCCTCATCCTCGATTACTTCCTCGGAGAAACTCGGCAGTTGCAGGTCCTCGATGAAATTTCGCAGCTTTTTCTCCACGTCTCTAGGCATCACGGTGGCCCACATCAGAGTCGGGGATTCCATTTCCGGTTTGGAAAACTTCTTCTGTGGCACGTATTGCTGCCCGATCCGATCCCTCGGCTTGAATTCCACGCGATCCTCGGAATCCTGTCCCCCAACCGACTCTGCATCGGATTCGAATTCGACAATTGCTGACCCACAATCGGCCTCCGCATCGCTGTCATTGACTTCTCGGATCTCCAATCGAGTCTCGTTCGCTCGCGAAAGCCTGGTCTTTGCACAACCAGAAAGCGGCCGTACCGATTCCACCGGTTCCGATACCGTCACTATCGTCGCTTCCTTCAACGCTCCGTTACCATTTCCGGTCTCCAAAATACCCACCCCGGCGATATGGCCGATCGTCGCTTCCAGAGGTAAACTGCTGACGGTCGTGATCTCGATTATCCCGGGACGAGATTCCGCCAGGTCGATCTTCTCGATTCTGCGCTTATCGTTCGATCGGAATCTGCATCCATGATTCAACGAGGATCCGCCCCGATTCTCGTCTTCGGTCAGGTCGACATTCTCCGGAACGGGATTCTCCGCGACGGAGTCGTTCGTCTTCGAGTTGTCGTCGTCGTCGTCGTCGCCGTAGTCGCGCTCGTTCCTCGAGGTCGGACGATTCTCCTCCTCGAGCTTCCTCTGCTCGGCCTTTCGCGAGGATTCCGTGACGTTCGTCGGTGGCTGAGGAGGTCGCCGTCGGTTCCGATTCCTGCGGCTGCGGTTGCGGTTGCGCGCATTGCCCTGCGGCATCACGGCGCAGTCCTCCGCGTCGGTTGCGTAATCCAGAAGGTCGCGGTGTCCTACGAGGTCGCGAATTTGTGGAAAAACTCGTAGCGCACGTTCTCGCACGTCGTCCTCTCTCTCTCTCTCTCTCTCTATCGCCTTCTTCTTTCTCTTCACTTGTAGAATTCGCGTCGGAAATATCGCGTCACCGTCGTTTTACGGTAACTTTTCCGACCTTCTCCGTTTTCTGTTTCTCTTCGTTCTCTTTTATCTAATATCCGCCACGAGTTTCCCGACTCGGGATTTTTCTTACACGCTCACGTACGTGCGTTTGACGCGCCCTTATTTTCACGTTTAAAGATGACGGCTCGTTACGATTTTCCCGCATCGTCCGGAAAGGAGCAACGGGATTTGAAAGTTTCTAAGAGTATTACGACGGAAAGATGTTACCGTACTGCATTTTGCAGAAAGTTACAGCTTCAATTTTTCCCACGAATTTCTATTGGACACGAAATGTTCCATTCTGACTTAAAGAAAAGATAGGATAGATAAAATTAAATTGGTTTTTTTCTTTATAATTTCTTAATCAAAACTAAAATGATTTTGACGATTTTGATGATTGTTCTTTAATTTAAATACAGTCTCGATTCTTTAACAATTCCAGCATGCATCTCAATATCCCCAAAATATTTCCGTACCGGAATTCTCAAGAAAATTTACTATGCCAATTTTTAATACACCGCATACTTTACCTATATACGGAATATTTACTTATATCCCAGTTTCCTTTTACGCGAGACAATTCGGCAGGCTTTTAGAAAGATCGTTCCAGACAATCGCAATCACAAGATGATGCTTGATGAAGAAAAGAAGGAAGAAGATATCGTACAGTATTTCATGCAGAAAGCGTGGTCCAGCCCAACATTCCTAAATATATAATCTTCGATAACAAAGCGCTCTTACCTTTCTTAGCGTCGCTTCGTTGTTCGCTCGGGCAGCTCTTCAGAGCACCGTTCTGATTGGCGTAGCTCTGCTCGACTTTTGTGTCATCTGAAAGAAACGGTTCGATGTTGCAATAGACAGCACGTATCATCTCTGAGAAACGTTTCATTTATTAAAAACTCACGATACTAAAAAAATTATTAAAAATTCCTTAATATATAAATAAATGTATGGAATTAGATGAAAGAATTTTAAAATTAGTAAATTTCAGTAAAACAGTTTTACGATTTACGTCGTTCAGACTCAACCGATGAATTCCTTCACACGTCACATTTTTACGACAGATTTTGCAGGCGCGAATCGGTTTGTGCCTTTCGCAACGGTACCGGGTAATCGATGAACATCCACGACTTTGCAGAGTGCACGCACGAAGTATAACGACGACAAACGTGAAGCGTCGCACGTTGCCGAGGCACGAACGAGTGCGTTAAATTTAGGCGAGAATTCCAACGGCGACGACGACGACGCCCATGATGTTAACCAGCCGCGATTCAGCGGCACAACCGCGACCTGTAGGATACGTGAATCGCGATTATGCACTGAGCCATACGAGTAGAACCAACGAAACCACCCGCGAGATGCGCTCGTATCCCCACCAGTGTGGAGTCACGTGTTTCGTCCACGTATCTACGTCGATCCAGGTGAATTTGTATCACTCACACACGTGGACGATTACGCGACCGAACGAATGGGAACTTCAATACACCGTCGTCGGTGTCGGAAGTCCACGGTCGTCTGCGTGTCGGTCGTATGGAGCGACCCAAAACTTTCAGGCTCTATCTTCCGAGAGATATGGGGAGCTTTCCAAGCAAGGGACACAGATGACACGGTGTAACACAATGAATCGTTACATCCTTGTTTGGCAATGTTTAACGAAGATGAAATGATCACTAGGTCTATTTTCAAGGTTGCCACAGAAAATAAATATTAAAATTCCTTGACTTTTCCAGGTTTTTTTTTCCGGTTAAAAATGGAAAATTTTCCAATATAAAATATGTAAATTTTAATATACATTGAAAGTCAAGAATTGTAGGAAAGCTAGCCTATATTGTTAAAAACAACGCAAAATAGATTAGCAGCATACTAAAATTTTGGGTGCAAATTCAAGCCAACAAAAAATAAATTAGTATTGGAAAAACAATGCAGTTACGAAAAAGAGCGATCAAATAGAAATACTGAATAAAATACAAATTTTTATTATTTTATTATTTGAAATCGTTTAAAGTGTGCGACTTTTGAACGTATTTCACTATAAACGTCAGATATAATATTAAAAAATTATAACAATTATCTGGAATAGGAGCAGTTTAAGGAAATTGTGAGCAAATTTCAAAATTCCAGACTTGTTTACATTTTCTCCTGACTTTTCCCGGTTTTCCCGATTTTCCAGGTCTATGATAACCCTGAAAATTTTTATTGTTGTACTGAAGAAAAATACTAAATTTTAATAAATATTTGTTTAAATAGTTCTAAATAAATATTTATTTAGTAAATTTTTTTTCAGTGTGCACTGCACCAAAATTATCTTTCTCGCTTTTGTCGAATATCAAACATATTATATCTTTCTCACTATAAGTTCCAAATATGTAGTTTAACCACAGAAGTGTTTACAAAACTCTAGTACAGACCAATGTTGAAAGATAATAATTAACTATTATTATTTTAAATATTAAAAGCTATTTTAAATATTAAACTGCGTTATCCAGTACTTTTAGTACTTTAAATAAGTAATTAATTACTCTCTTCCAGTAATTAATTGACCAGTATTAAATGAACCAGATTAGATTTCCAGTAATTAACTAACCAATATTAAATTAATCAGATCAGACAGGAAACAGACCTATAACTGTATCTCTCGCTGGAAAGTACCAACTTGTCGACGTTCGGGTGTTCCGCTCGAAGCTTGACTCGCTCCGGTACTTAGATGCGTTGACGTAGAGCACCGTATAAGCACTTGACAATTTTCCGAAAAATTCTGCAGAGAGAACCGTGTCAACCTTCCTCTTTTTTTTTCTTTTTTTTTTGGAAAGCGCACGAACTCGGGATATTTATGGAACGGTGATGTGCAACGTGCACGCACACAGATGCGAAACTGTATCACGCATTAACGCTCGTACGGGGGTACATGAGCACGCACGCACACGAGCCCCCTCCCCCCCCCCTCCTCCTCTGAATTCATGAATAGCGCCCCGCTTCCGAGTTCGACTTCCTTCCGAGCGTACAATGCCGGCGGAGTGACTCTGTCGCGCGAGCGCACCCATCTATTCTCCGCACTTTTCATTGCGTCACGGCAGTCGCGAACGGACACACGCGGGTACGCGGTAGTCGCACGAGATCCGGAAGTGACGAAACATTTTTTTTTTTTCTTTCGAGCAAACGCCCCCCCGTATCTCGGTGTGTTAACGCACGTAGCTAAAATAAGGATCCTGACCGAGTTTGAAGTCACGACGACAAAAGCCGTAAAAATCCACTACACGCAAATATCCATGCACGCCCAATCTTGCCGATGTTGTAACCTTGTAGTTACGCAACGAGTCGCCGCGCAATAAAATATATATATCACGTTAATTGCATAATGGGATCGAAGAAGCTTACACAGCAGGGATTGGACTGTCACGGACAAGACACGAACGTGATGGGAAGGGATGAAAGTCGGGGCTTAACTCCGACCACGCAGTACTATCGTATAATCCTGCGACTTTTTGAAAAGGGAAACAAATGCTTTCCCTCAGTCCATCTCACAGAAAGAGTGGTTCTGAAACATTAAAAAGTTTAGCTAGACACAGATCTGAAAATAGAGATGAATATGACCGAAAAAAAATTTGAAACTCATGAATAAAAAATTCAGTAAAAAAAGAAAGTCTTTTTTGCTTAATCTCTGGAAGTTTTTATTCGCGATCACAAAAACTTTCAGAGATCGAGAAAAAGAACCGTTTTGCTGAGTTTTTATACAAAGTTCTTGATTTTTTTATCATTTGGAACATTTTTATCTCTATCTGAAAATTTCTTTTGGATCATCAAAATAATTATGTAAGACGCTCAAACTGGTTGCTAGAATATTAAAACTTTTTGCAAAAAAAGTCGAATTAACGTTTAGACATTTTAATTAATAATTATTATATTACAATAATTTATTAATAATAATTAAATATATAATTAATAAAAATTATTAACAATAATTATTATAATAATTACTTTGATAATCCAACAAAATTATTATCGGATCTATATCCAGCTAAATTTTCAAATATTTCAGCAAAACTTTTTTTCCGTGTCAACCCCACAACATTTAATACAAACAGTCATTTTTTTCAATCTACGTAAAATCTCTGTAAAAATCCACACTGGCTATCACAGAAAGGGCGACCTTTCGGAGGAAAATTACGGAGGCGAATTTCCCTGGGGGAAAATTAGAAGGAACGTTTCGCGCGAGCAACTTCCAGCCGGGGCGACGGGCCCATTGGCCACGGGCACGTTAATACACGCGATAGGCGAAATGGGTGTGCCGTCATGCCCCGAAGGTGCCAAGCCCACGTTTCCGTGGTTCGCGTCTTCCATCTTCGTCCTCCGCAACTGCCCTGCGCTGCGCCCTTTTCGTCCTTCTCGTCGTCCGACCGTGAACTCCCTCACGACGAGGGATTTCCTTCGATCCGATCGCCACTGTCGTTCGTCGCTTGCGCAATCGACCAGCATGACATATTTTATTGCCCGACGACTCTGTCCGTTGCATAATCGATCACCCGGCGTCACGCTCCGCGTAGATTCGACCAACTATTCCAAGACGTGCCTTTGCATTTGGGTTTCATACGGGAAGAACAATTTTGCTGGACCTATACTGAGTAAATATTTAATTACTTACAGCAATATAAATATTTACTCAATAATAAGGAATGATAATTAAACCAAATTAATGGCTCTTGTACTAAATGTATTATTATATTTAGTAAATGTTTAGTTGGTACTATTCAAACAATTGACTTATTAAAATTTAGTGTTTCTTTTCAGTGTAAAAATTTGAAGACCAGATCTGAAAATAATTTTATTAAATTATCAAAATAATTGTGTAGGACGCTCAAACTAGAATGTCAAACAGCATTCTAATGTCCACCACGTTTGAATTTTATACATAATTATTTTGACGATTTAACAAAATTATTTTCAGATCTACTACATATCTACCTAAATTTTTAAATACTTCAAAGAATTGTTCTTTTCGTCAAATCAAACGCGATTTTTTCATAAAGATTTTTTATCGTTACTTTCAACTATCCTAAAAAACTACGTAATTTTTATGTAATCATATAAATATTAAAATAACAATATTCATTTAATATAATAACATACTTGTACTTTCCTAGTTGGAAACACAAAAAGGAACACTTCCAAATTATACCAAACTCAATTTCCGATAGTGCGGTGAAATTTATTTACTACTATCGATTTTGACTGTCTAAAGCAAGCCTTGTACAGTATTTTTCATGGAGGCGAACGATTGCCCTAAATATCTAATGCGTAGCTTGTTCACGTTACGATAAAGGAACAATTTCCGTTCGTACAAGCCCGCTCACAAACGGGGATTGCTATTTCCGGTAGCGCATTGTTCGATCGAGGCTGCGACTGGAACTTCACGACGTAAATCGAAAGCCGTTCCATCGGCCATAATATCGGCGCATAACTGTCAGAGCACAAAAGACTGTCGCGAAGAAATTGTTATGATGATTTTGTCGATAGCCTCATTAACTTGGACAAATATCGCTCGATATTATCGCCGTCAGAAAGTTTATACAGAGAACAGTAATCTAAATATTAATAGCGATGTATCACCATTTAAAAAATATAAGGGAGAAGGCCACAGGTCCCTTTATGATCGAATTTCATCATAATAAAATTTCAAGCGTGTTCATGAATGCGACACTTGAGTTTATTAACAGGCAGCGTCGATAGCACTTAGGACTCTCGTGCATCCTCTATTTAAAGAATCGGATGACCCTCGAAAAGCGAACGTAATGACGCATCGCTAATTGCACTATCTCGTTCGTCGCAGCAAGAACAGCCCATAAATGACGCTCGAATTTCAGTGGCAAGAAGAGCAGTGTCGCGAGTTGATGTTAACGCAAGTTGAATTGATGATTGGAGAGAAACTTTGGTCATTACCGGTTCATGAAATTCACAACTGATTAAGCTCAAGTTACGTGTTTACGCAAAATCTCGATCACACAAGATTTATAATTTTCGATTATATATTACTTAAATAACATTTACTCGTCCTCGAAATTTTACGAGAATGCTATAAACATTTATGTATATTGAGAAAAAAATGTCGAAATATTCGCAAGCAAATATAATACAAATGACATTGTTTTCGATGTTTATCGGTTACAGAAACATTAAACTGTAATAACGAAATATATATTTTGTGAGAAATATATGCATCTCATTAACGGCAAAAAATAAAACGAATGGTTTATTTGCCAGAAATAAAATTTTATTTCGTTTTATTTAAATAAAGATTTATTTCAGTGGAATAAACATTATACCTCACAAATAAATTTTTGAGCATTTTTTTTTCTCAGTGCAGAAATGCGGACTTTTTCCGATATGTTTCGACGTTAAATCGCTTTTTCCGATATGTTCCGACGTTTTCTAAATCTCCTCCCAAATTGAAGTTAATCGCTACCTACCGTTCCGCGTTTCGACATCGAACACGTTCGAGCACTCGTTCGGTATCCGGTCGCGGGAGAAGTCCGAGATTTCTTCAGTCTTTACGAGATTATCGAATTCCATCCCTGCGGCCTCACGACCTTCACCCTCGGGTCTCAATCCTTCTTTCCCTCGTTCGACAGATGTTCCCGAGCGCTCCACCTCATCCATGAAGCGAACAGTTTTGTTCTCCCGCGCGGGGGACAACACCTGTTCGCCATGTCGACTCTTCAGAATCGGCGCCCTAACGAACAGGTCCATCATCGTGCGCTCGATCTTCAGGTGTTCCTCGACGATGCGGTCCAGGGTGTCTGCGTACGATCTGCGATCGAGTAGATTGTTTTCACGGATCGAGCTCTGGAACCCGTTGGGACCTTCTAGATGCTGATATCCATTAGTATCGGATCCCGCGGGAATCGCCACGGTGTTCATCCGTCTGAAATCAAGACTGTTCAACTTGTTTTCAAAGTTCTGCCGGGTCTCCGTGTTACGGAAGCACGGCGGAGGGTCGATGAGGAACTTCAGCGCTTCCAGGTGCTCATAATATTCACGCTCGAGCTCCCCGGCCCTTCTTCCGGCGACGTTGACTTCCTCCCATCGTCCGGTGTCGTTGCCATTCGACATTTCCACGCTTTTCGCCGGGATCTTCCTCTTCCTCTTCAGGTGGATTCCATTAACCGTCTTGGGGATTCCCACGCCCTTCGATTTGATCTCATCGTTGGTAAGTTTCCTTGGTTTCGTACGGATCTCATGCTTGCTCTTAGTCCTCGCGAGTCCTCGCCGTTTCCACGAAGCGCTGAAGCTACGTATCGTGGTTAGAAATCGGGCGTTGGATCGCGACGAAGCCACCTTCTGCGGGCCTTCGAAGCGACGATGATGAGGTTGATAACGTTGACGACGCGTGGGTGGTCGTTTCGTCATCACCAGTGGATCCGTCGTCTCGCAATTGCGTTGTCGCGACGACTGTCGTTGATTCAGCGTCTTGAGACACCGAATACAATCGAAAAGCTTCATCTTCGTGGAGGATCATTTATTTTTCAATTTGTCACCTCTACCGTCACCTCAATCGAGCTTCATTAATTATCATTGATCCAACGTGTCCACGCTGAATTCACTTTCATCGCGTGATTTGTCACGACGAGTTCACCCAGCGCGCCCTTTCTTTCCTCATTACGCAATCGCATGCGGATTCATTAAACAGCGATTCGCGACCATTGTACCGTCGGATAATACGCGCATTGTTGATCGCCATCATTCACAGGCATACCCCACTGTTGTACGCGTTTCCTGATTGAACACTCATCGGCATTGCCCTGTATATTTGCTTGAGCATTCACTAAATTGTCGATCAAATTGATAAAAAAGATTACACGAGAAATTACATTGTCATAAAGCGGAGGATCAGGGGATCGATCACGTAATTATCAACGGTCTTACACTTTCCTTAAGTCTAAAATTTTCAAATCTCCCCACGTAGAAAAAAAAATTACGTGATTACTCAGATCTGCAAATTTTTATCACAACTATAATTATATTTGTATAAGTCTGTAATTCTTTTCCCAATTTATATAATACCATTTTATCTCATTCTATAGCCCACTTTTAAATATAACAGCTTCATTCTGGAACTCTGCCAACCAATAATCGTGGACTGTCACACTTTTTCTCTAACATTACAGAAATTTATCCATTGCGAGCGATCTTTTTCCGATATGAACTTATACACGAGGATCTGCAGTTGCACTTTTTTTTACTGGGGGATAAGTTCTTAAAGAAATTTTATCAAAGCATGACTTGCGATTGCATGTATTGCGAATTCTTGTAAGTGTTTATCCACTGAAAGAGGATGGTTTATCACATCGGTGTGAATCGAAACGTTTGAAATTTTGATTTTGTATCTGAATTGGTCAATACATTAATTGTAGTATTGTGCACCGATATCGTTCTTACTCTGTATTGTCTTTTATTCAAATTTTAATTCTCCGAGTCTTCAAATACTTAGTTTAATTACAATGTTCACATTTCACTTTTCCATCAATGACTTCTCCCGGAAAATCAGGCGATCGATCCCCGATCCTCGATCACAAAAAGCCGAGAATCTTCGCGATTCCGGTGCTCCTTTTTGAAATAAGCGACTTCGAAACTTGATTGCTCGGCGCGGCGCGCTCGACAAGGTGTTCCCTGATACTGAACGAGAAAGGTGGGTCCGCAGGCGGCGGCCCAGCGAAGGAAGAAGAGAAGAAGAAGAGGGTCGCCTCCTCGACGTAGGGTCTTCCCGGAGAGCCAAGGGTGCGCCCGCACGGAATTGCAGCGTGTCGTTGTGGTGGCAGGTGTACGCTCGTGTACGTGAGAATATACGTGCGAGCCGGGAACAGGTGTGTTGCGTGTGTGCGTGAACAACACGCACGCACATTCGACGCACGGCGTGGGTATGCCCCTGTCTGGATGCGCACTGTACCGCGACGACGAGCGGGCAATTTGGAGAAAAGAGCCGGGTAATAACGACCAGAGTGGGATGATCCGCGTACATTTATGGTCCGTACACGTCATACGTTGCGGACTTATTAGGCTCGTTATTATCCGGTCATCCGAGGACCCGAATAAGCCGCTAATTATCGGTGATTAATTAGGGGAGACAAAAATCTCTAATTGTCTCCACAGCTTTCGAAACCGATATCTCTCGGTTATACGAAGATTTCCGAAATATTTATTTCAACCATAGCTTTTTCCGTTTTTCTAGCATGCATAAATATTTTTAACCCCTTCAAGCCTAATTTTATTGGAACCATGGTAAAAAATCTTTTTTAAATTTAATTCAAGATATTTTAATTGGTAGTTTATGCTAAACAATTAAATTTTTCAAAATTTTGACTATTTTTCCAACATATACATTATTATGTATATCCGATATTCCGATCTCATCTGATGTCGATAGAATTAAATAATTTCAACGGACAATGTCTTCAAATTTGATATAAACGTTAAAATAGTCTGAAGCAGTCAGAAAGTGGAAAATTGATCGAATTAGAAAAATTCGTTCCCTGTCAGTTCGATTGGAAGTTAATTTGAATTATTCCTGTTTTTCTCCTATAATAATTGCTAGACATCAATAAACGGCATCGCATGAAAAGCTAGCATGATTAATTCGACCAACCAAAACGTCACCAACGCTAACTTCGGTTTCTGCGGTTGTCGCGCATAAAGGAACCGGCCGCCATTGTTCGCCGTTGAGATCATCGGAGATAATTAAACTACGCGCATTGTACGCTCAGTTAACTGGCAGGATTATTGTGCTCGATCAAACATCGGCGGTCATGCGTGGGTAATTTCTGGGTTCTCCAACGTAACGCGATGCGGGAACGAAAACGATCGAAGTCGTAAGTTCTAAATTTGTTCTTAATTATTAACAATCGTGTCAACACGCGTTAATTGTCTTGTGGTTCATCAATATTCGAGAGATTATTTACGCAATTACAATACTTGCGCGATTGCTTTATAAATTAATTATGTTACTGCAATATTTCGATTATTAGCGCTGCAATTATAAGCGTGTATAAAAGGGTAGCGTTAAAAATTTATTGAAAAATAACGATTTGCTCGACGTTTGATACCACCTGAGATTAATCGGGAATCGATATCGAACGCGGCGGCTTATTGCTTAAACAACGATTAAAGTACTCGTAAATTCGACGCTATATTACGTAACTTAATTAATCACGAGCTTATTTGACGCTATTCGTCAAAAGTTTCTGTCAGATATGGTTTGTAAATTGTTAATTATCGAAGTATGCTTGCATCGAACGTTTCCCCTTGTTAACGGCGTTTTACAAGTAAATACAATTTTCAATTATGCTAAGAGCCAGTGTTCCATCACTAGCAGAACAATGTGAAAATTGATGTTTGCATAAGGAAACAGAGAACTTACTGGCAACGTTCCTCTCCGACTCCGTCCGTGTGCGCGTTGTCGTTGTGGTCCTTGTGGTGATCTCTGCGGCACACAAATGACAGAATTACGATTACTTCCCTCTCATAAGCGAGCGAGGGATCGATCGATCGGTTTTCGCAGAGAATACCTACTGTTCTGAATTTCGGTAGTGTTCTCTTGCAGACTGCTCCTGTAGATCCTCCTTTTCGGCGAGCCGATATTTTCTCTGCGACAAAAAAAACGGATGAATAAAAATAAAATTTCTTATCGAATTATATCAACAATAACAGAACAATAAAATTCTGTTTTATTACACTGAAAACAATTTTTTAAATCTAATTGTAAATAATTTTTTTCTTGAAAAGTTGTTCCAAGTAAACATTTTTTTATATATTTACTTGCTAGAAGTAAGATATGTTTACATTTAGTAAATATTTACTTGCAGTAAAGAAATGTTTATTTGAAAACTGTTCGATAAAACAATTACTTAGATTAAAAAAATTCTTTTTCAGTGTACTACAAAGAAATCTAAATATTTCGATCACTTACTGGTTGAGACCGAGTTTTAGCTGCTCCCCAGAATTACGTAACAGAGCGTGCGCCTCGCTGTTAGTCAGATCTCGAGTGCTTCTTTCATTAATATTACTGATCAGATCGCCCTCTCTCACCCCTTGTTGAGCTGCTTTGCTTCCCGGATTCACCTGAAACAGGTAACCGTGCGGTCAATAAATTTGGTGACGGTATACGTAAGAGTTAGTTGAGTCATGATCGCTTAACACAAATTAATGCGAGTATATACGATTTAATTATATCGTGAATCGCCGAGCGAGTTATCAAACCAGAAAAGTGATTGAGAACCACTGCAGGCCTTCAGTGCGCCTAAAGGCAGGCAACTTCTCAAACGTCGACACGCGACGCTGTCTGAAAGCGGCCGCACAGGCGAAGCGACGACAAATTACCGTCACGGTAGATCAAAACACGATGAAATATAAATGCCACGGAATATTTAAGATAGATATTATAACATAAATGGTACAAATATATATATTTATACTATTTATATTATAATATTATATTAAATGTTAATAAATATATATATCTCTATATTTGTACCATTTAAGATTATTAACTTTTTCATAGCTCGTTTTTACCACCAATGTAGATTAACTTTAATCTCGGTTCAATTTATTGTTTTTCTTTTTCTAATTTTTCCCAAACAATAACAAGTTCAAATTTGAGATATAGACGTCTTTAAAAAAATATCTTTAAGACATCTTTTTGACATTTTTAAGACAATTTGCGTCTTATTTTTAGACATGCGTTTGGATTAGAACTAGAAACTCATAAACAAATTAACTAGAGAGTGGAAAACCAAACCTATGTAAAGCAAAAAAAAATCGCATCAATAGTCGAGCTTTTTGCCGACATTGCAATGACAAAATTGAACGAAGGATTCATAAGAAATTTCTTCAGATAAATCTAGAAAAATTAACTTTTTACCGGCGACGACTCTCCGCATATCGAGTTGAGATTTAAGTTCCAAACGCTTAAGATTCTCACCATGCTGTCGCACTTCCGTTGGCCGGATGCGACTCGGAACTTCAACATCTCGAAGAACTCCTTCGTTCGATACCCTCGTGGTTGACAAAACGCTACCGCGGTACGTGAAAATAGCTAGATAGAAAGGCTCGTTCCGATCTTGCTCCTTTGTCACCACAGAAACTTTTATCGTCAAACGTCGTGAGCTTAAAACGTTCAACTTTTCAACTTCTTTTATTCCATCCACGAAACAAACGGCGCGTGTATGGTTTACTTACTTTGTAATCTGCTTTTGCTTTTATATCTATTGGAAAATTTTCAAAGTTACATGTGGAAATTCCTCCTATCTATCGAATTGATCAAAGCATTCTGTGTTCTAAGTCGTTTCCTTTGATTCGTCCGATTTGACGAGTGATTTATCGCAATGAGTTACGCGTATAATTAAAATTAAATAAAAATGAGAATTGCTAAATGAGAACTACTCGCGAACGAAAGATGATTTCGAGAATATTTTTCAATCCCGAGATGAAGACTAGAAGGTGACTAGAAGAATAGACGGTGCACATCGCGCCGGAGGTGAAAGGGTACTGGCGCTCGTCCTCTGAACAGGATGCACTGTTGGACTGCCGTCATACCGGCGCCAGACTTTTCGGCTACAGCGGAACAACAAGGGAAGTTTTCCGGCTGACCTTCCCCGTGATGCTGTTTGGATTTTGGGAGGAGCGAAGGGGGACAAGAGAGGTAGCTGTAACAATGAGATATATGGCGACCTGATTTTCAGAGCGAACTCAATTTTGTTTACGCAAATTTGGCTTCCAGCCAGACCGCATTGTTTCTCGCATTTACTTGATTAGAAATGTGCGTATCAATCTCGCTGTACGCGTTCGTTTCTTTTTATTTCACTTTTCGGCGGTGAAAAATGTACGTTGTAAGCAACATCGTGCAAATTGAAATCAGATTATCGAAATTAAAGTTTGCTTAAATTGCATCGATACAATGGGATAACCGAGATAAATTTTTGTGTTTTGATATGTATTACGAAGGAAACCGTTGTGAGATACATTGATATCAAAATTGGTAACCCAATCTGTTGAGTTAAATAACATTTTTTTACTTCCATGTGTGTTAAAATGTAAATCAATTCATTTCAGAGGTTGTCGCTCGATTTATACTAAACAATATTAACATATGCACTGACAAAAAATTTTCTAAATCTTAATACACATTTCTGTGAAAAGTACTAAGTAAACATTTACTTACAATAAATAAATATTTGCTCAATAAAAAGAAATGATAGTTAAATTAATGGTTTTTGTATCCAATAAATATTACATTTAGCAAATATTTACTTGGAACTGCTCACAAACAAATATTTATTAAAATTTAGTATTTTTTCAATGTAGTAAATAATAAACTAAATTTGAGTCAAATTTAATACAGTTTCTTGAGTTAAATTAATTAACTCCATTGTTTTAGTTAAATTAACGACATATTGAGGAGTAGTGGCGACCTATAGAAATAATTAAAAATAGTTCAAGTTAAATATAATTTGACGTTATGAATTTAATAGTAGAAGGCAGAAAGCTAAATTATCGACTCGACAAGCGAGCAAGTAGCCACGAAAACACGCTCGATGTAAAACGAGCGGCCGAGCGTTGAACTACTAGACAGAATTTCACATTTCACACTTTGCGCATAAGTCTTTCAAACTTTTAACTATGCGAGACGCACGACTTTCCAGCTGCATCGACAAAACTTGGGACACTCTGCTTCATTACCAACTAACGCGAGTTACTTCCATGACTAAAGAACTTTCTGAGATATTTGCGACATCGTATGGTTCTAAATTCCGCATTAATAAATTCCGCGTATAAATAAACTTTTAATAGACAATTATTTATTCACTTACAATTAATTGACGACTCTTTATTTAAAGATATTGATTTTGATATAAACGTTACTTTTAATAATATTAATAACTCAGTCTTCTATATTTATTTAATCTACTTCGACCACGATATTTTTGAGATACTCATTTTACGCTCAAGTACCACACAAGTTCCGTCCGATTTTAACGACCCTTTAAACGTCGTGCGGCGAACCAAGGGAGGCCGCAAAAGCGATTGGAGAAAGCGACGGAGAAAATTGCTTTCGGGCAACACGGGATAATAGCATCCAGAGGCGAGAACATGGTGATGGAAAGCGAAAGAAAAATCAGACAAGATGATGCAGGACCGGTCGAGGATCATCGTGACCAACTCCGCGGGGTATCAGCAGGATAATAAGCAATCACAGGGCTGCCGAACCCGCCCGCGGGTGTTCGCACACTCTTTGCTAAAACGTTCGCATAATTCGTTCCACGATCGCCCGAATAATACTGGATGTGCCGTTTGAGGATCTGTCGAGGGATTCGAGCAACTCCGAATGAAAAGAATAAGAGAGGAAGGTCATTTTTCGAAGCACATTTGGAATTGGTAGCAAATCCAACATGTTGATGCTTACACATTTTACTGCTAAAGTTTTTTGTTTACTGTAACCTTTAGATTGCAAACAAAATTAATTTTTTTAAATTAAATTTTTTTAAATTAAAAAAGCAAAAAAACTTTGAAAACAATTGAGGAAGGTCACTTTTGGAAGTGACCTTCAAAGTTTTTTGTTTTTTTAATTAAAAAAAAATTTTTTTTTTGCAATCTGAAGGTTATAGTAAACAAAAAACTTTAGCAGTAAAATGTGTAAGCATCAACATGTTGGATTTACTACTAATTACGTTATGGCATTATGATCTTTACTGTGATTGGCCAATTAATTTATTGCTTACATTTTTGCTGCTTAAGTTTTTTGTATGCTTTATAATCTTTAGATTGCAAACAAATTAGATGTTAAAAAGTTAAGAACTCTTCTTATGCCCAATTTCTTCACTTCCAGATAAGTTGCAGATAACCTTATCCAGGAGATATTTCCAGTATTCTGGGAGATATCTCTAGGATAAAGTTATCTAGAGGTGAAGAAAAGAGGGCTTAGACTTCTAAAAATGTCATGGTTTTTAATTTTTACAACTCAAGGAAAGAAGGAATTACTTTTTCAAGTAATTGTCTCTCTACACGGAGAAAATTTTATATTTAAAATTACTATAATGTGGTAGTAGCTGCGGTCTTCATGTAAATTATAAGTTTAAATGCTATAGCTATTTTTTTAAAAACAATAATATAACGTAATTTTTACACTTTTTCATAGTAAAAATTTTTTATTACAAAATCAAATATACCTAGCAAATTTTGTTTGCGTACCATAGTAAAAATTAACTGTTTTCATGTTAGAATATGGCTTAACAAAATAATTACTTTATTTATGTGATAAAAATTAGTATTACCAAAGTAAAAGTTAAGTCGGAATCATATTGTCCATCGAAAATACAAGATAGTAAAGTCTAATTTAAAATTGTATTAAAACTTAATATAAAATTTTCTCCGTGTATTGACTGTCCAAGTTCGAAATCGATTTTTCCACGTCTTAAGAACAATTTTTATTTATTCTTATATCGAATTCAAAAATCGGTCGGAAGTGTTTCGTATTTGATTATACGTTATATCGGCGCTTCCGAGACGATTTATATCTCTCGCGGAAGATACGCGCAGCAATCATGCGACGCGGCAGACCGAAAAATTGAATATTCCCGAGCGCATTCGATGCCGATGCTCGAACAGTGAAACTGATCCCGCATTTTTTCCGCGTGTTTCCCAACCGTTACGTTGTCTTTGCGTAATTGTGAGAACAAATCGACCTAACGGTGACGAAAACCACTAGAACTCCCATCTATCGACTCTATACAACTGTGACATCGTTCTTTAAATACCTTTATGGTCTAACATTAATGTTTCCGGACTGCAGCAACAAAAAACACAAATATCTCACGTAATAAATTGTTATATTTTATTTTTCAAAGTAGTCTCTCATCAATATAATTTACATACCTTGGATTCAAAGACCTCCAAACTTTTTTTAAAGCCGTAGTCGGAATGTTACTCAGAACACTCGTCACGTTCCTCTGAATATCCTCGACGTCTTAAAACATTTTTTACATTTTTGAACTCTGAGAACAGCTTGAATTTAAAAAAAGCCAGATTCAACTAATAAAATGGCTAACTTATCATGTGGCCAAGAA